CCTCTTCGGCATTCCATTGATTTTTAATGCACATTGTAAGCATGTAAGTACCAATACAAATACGAGTATATAACCAAAACACAACATGACAATATTTGCAGCCAAGTGGTGCACCAACTGCCAACTTAATTCGGACCACATTCTGGTGGCCCAGAAGTTTGCTGTCGTCGTCGACTGCAAGCCAAAAGGTGTCCAATGGCCACCACGGAGCCAGGCCAGCAGCACTGACCCTGTTCGCACCTCGTTATGCTATCGCTTTGGCATTTGGTACGAGTCGAATCGAATCGAATCGAATCGAGTGGAGTGGAGTGGAGTCGAGTCGAGTACTTCAACTTCATAAGTACACCAGTATCTGGTTAATGTAATCTTTTCTCGCTTTATTCATGGCATTTTCTGTATGAAATTTCCCCCAAAGCGTTTGTCTATCATCATCAGCTCAGACGAAGCTTCCCGAGACTTGCAAAGTCTTTTGCTGTTTCTGCTTTGAAATCCGATCGATGCAGGCAGAGGCAGCGGCACTTTGGACAGAGTTCAGAGCTGCCTTTGGCCTTCTCCACTGTTTCTATTTTTGTTTTTTGTGTGTTTGAATGGGATCTGCCATTAATTTCAATCATCTCCGAAGTATTTTCCATTGAATTTGTAATTGGTTATTCGGTTTTTTGGTTTTTTGGTTTTTTGGTTTTTTGGTTCTTGGATTCGCTGCTTGGAGTCTGGTTTGTCACTTTTCCAAGCATGCACCTCTAGACATTCATCAAATGGCAATTCAATCAATTCTTTTTGGCATTTTCTTGGCTCAGTTTTTGGTGCTTGTGGCACCTTTGACTAATTTGTGATATAAATTATTATTTTTGCTGTTGAAAGTTGCGGCAGATGGAAGAGCTTCAAAATTGTATACAAATATGCTGGAAAATATTTCGCTGAGGAATTGTTTGAATGCCTCGACATGACCTACTCTATATATTTACGGGCAAAAGTCTTCATCACGTGTGTGTTTTATAAGCGCCTTAAAAATTACCAAATCCCTAACAAAACAAAGTCATTTGAACCAATGATTGGTAACAAAAAGTGTAGCAAAAAATATGAATAAATGTTTGCAAAACTCCCAAAACAGAGAAGCTACTTCAGTAATTCCCCAGTGACAAATACAATTAAATTTGGAGTTCCCCCTTAACCCATTTGTGGGCCAGAAGATTCAATGGAAAAGAGAGCTTCACTCTGATTGCAAAACCCATCGACAATTTGCCACAAAAAGAAGAAGAGAGAAGAGAAGAGACCAAAGCGAAACCATTTCATGGCGATGATGTATGATATTTTAGCCGTGACTCAAAGAAGAGTGAAACGTACGAGGGGTGGAGAGAGGCAAGGTGGCATGATATGGAGTGTAGTCAAAAGTAGGAGGAGGAGGAGGAGGAGTCTAAGCGGAGAGCGCAAAGCTGAGACAAAGACTGCGGACAGCGGACAGCAGACCGTGGGGTGGCGATGATGATGATGATGGATCATTCCTCGGTTTTTGGAGCCTCCAACGGATGTGGCATGTGTGTGGCATGTGCCATGTGGCTGTGCATAGGATGTTCTTCTTCGACTTTGGCATCGGTTCGGTCTCTCGTCTCGTCTCGGACCCTCTGTGCTGTTTAGCATATTCATTGTTGGATTGCCGGGCCGCGATAATTATAATTCCTCCGCCAAGAGACCGGAGTTCTTTTTTGTTTGCTGCTGATTTTTTTCCTACTGTTTCTGGCTGTGTTTTCCTGTGTTCTGCCTTTAATTACCTTCCTACCCCAACGAGGCAGCCTTTGCATAATGGCATTGTTGTTGCCGAAATCATCATTAGAATTTTTATTTGCACAATAATCAACGCGCGGATACAAAAAGAACAAGGGCCCGGGCCGGGCGCCCCAAAAAAAAATCACCCAAAAGTGCATTGTATTTGTGCAATGGCAGAGAATTTTCTGTTATGTTGTTGTTGTTTTTTTTGGGGGGTTGGGGGAGAACACACAACCAGAACAATGAGAACGAAATGCGTTCATCAAATGTGTGTATTTGCGGTCTCTGTTTGCGAGTGTTTTGTGTGTGTTTTTTGGTTTTGGTTTTGGTTTTGTTTTTGTTGTGGGAGTCGCATCGCGGTGGTGAATATTTCGTTACGTCGAGAACTGCAATTGACAAATGATGCTGATTTCAGCACTCGAAAGATGGATGAACCGAACGAGAGAGGATGCCTGCAGTTTGGGGCAAACCTTGGACTACTTGGCTTGGATAAATGTGCAGTTGCAGTTGCAGTTGCTGCACACTACGACTGTAATTAGGAGCAGGAAATCCGATCTGATATTATTGTTAATCCATTCTATTTTAGAGAGCGTTTAAGGGCTAGAGGGGAAGAGCATTAGAGCAAGGAAGGGCATGCCCTATAGCACTTCAAAGTATATTTTAGGAATGTCTAAAAATGATTTCTGCACAGGGCATGTCCAGATTATTACAAGGGCTGTGCCACCCACAGCTCTTGAATACATTTTACCCAGCAAAAGATCAAAATAATTCCCCTCTAAAGGTCAGCCCTTGACTGACCCTGAATGTGAGATCATTAAAAAAACACACAACAGATTCTTCACACAAATGACTTCTGCTCCGTTTCGGCTACGTTTCCAGCCGCTTGCCAGCGTCTAATTATAAAAACATTTCTAAATAAATTTAATAAATTACAGCATTAGTCGCATTATTCGCTGACAAAGGAACGGGGAAAAACTCGCATGAAAAATTGTGCTTATGTTCGGGTGTCACAGCGGCAGATGGAGGCCAACGGGAAGCAAGCATTTATAGTACTCCCCCCCATACCCATACCCACACCCGCACCCACTCCCCTACCCATAATTACTTGATCATTGTTTTCGTCACGTATTAAACCGATTTTCAAATATGAAGAAGCGTTCGCTCATGATGCAGAGGCCATGCCACCTTCAAATGGGTAAAAGTCAAGGTCGTCTGGGGGCATAATAATTTACGGTCACAGCGTGTGAAATCTTCGGAAATTGATGGGGGGGCTGGCGGAGGCTGGCAGAGGAGCTGAGTGCCATTAGATTGTACGCCAAAGAGCTATCAGCTAATGCTTGAAATTCCACAAGAATTGGGAAACCTGCAACCTGCTTGCAGCGGCCGAGACCAACGCCTAATGATAATAAGTAAGTAAAATCCATAGAGCAGACCGGGTTGATGCCCATATTCAGGCTGTGGTCTGGTCTGGTCTGCTGGTCTGTGTTGCTTACAGCCAAGAAACTGCACTCGAAACTTGCGCTGATTAAGGGAATTTCTCACACAATTCGACTACCACCGAAACTTGCTCTCAAACCCAAACCATGAGCCACGACAGCCGAAAGACGTTTCGTTTGGCAATGTCTATTGCCAGTGCTCTAATGCTGTGCTCCGGCTGTGGCTCTGGCTGTGGCTGTGCTTTGCTTTTCTCGAAGGTGAACCAGAATGCAGTCCGTAGTCCAAGTCAAAAGTGTCTCAGATTCAGCAGTCCTAGGTCTCAATGGTCTATGGTCTATGGTCTATGTCGATCTCTCAAGCAATTGAAGCGCATTGAATGAGCCGTCGGAGCCGTCGGAGCCGTCTCCCCAACCGGATTGCTGCTGCTGCCACTGCCACTGCACATCTTTTGAAAGTGAGCGGCTGCTGCGACTCCGAGACGGAGACTGCATCAATTCTAGAGCAAATGAATGTCTCTTGCCAAAGGCAGGCAGCTCTACAAATTTATTGCAGCATTTTATTTTAATTAGTTTAATTTATGATAATTTTTTTCAAATCGAAATTAAATGCAGTCACACAGCAACCAGAATTGCATAAGTAACATCCGCTGGGAGTGACATTCCCCCCCTTGCACAAAGGGAATGATGTTTGGGGGAATATCGAAGGGAAATCAAAGTCTCAGGGGGCTCACTCAGTCATCAATCAGTTTTAGTTTCAGCTGCCAAAATTCTACCATTTTACCATTGCGACTTTAGCCATGGATCCTCATTAAAGTTATAATGATATTGGAAAAATATTCCCAGCATTTAAAACCTCAGAAAACATTAAGAAACATTTGAATGCTTTGGTGTACCTTTGGCTCAATTCTTAGCCTTCGAAAGTACTTTACCAAGATCAATTCTTCTTTCCCTCAAGACTTTGTGCCGTACAATTTCCTCAGTTAAGAGCTGCTAAATATAATCAAATTTTCTTTTATTTGATTTGCCTCTCATCCAAGTCGAATTTTCATTTTTCTGTCATTTGTGTTGCTTTTCCCTTTTGCTTTTCTTTTCCCACCGAGTCATCAATGCGTATGCCAATCGAGTGAGCGAGTTCGTTGCCTAAGTCTTTCGTTTATCCGGCGCTAATGAGCGAACATTTCGCACCAGCAAGCGGCAGGCAGCGGCAGGCAGCAGGCGGCAATTAAATGGAATCGAAATCGCCGTTAAGTTGGCCAAGTGGCTGCCCCCATCAATAAGCAGAAATTCGCACTAATTTTTGCTTTGCTTTTGCTTTTGCTTTGCGACACACTGCCAAACAAACATCCAAACAAAAACCAAAACAAAAGCCGGCGGAAGAGAGGGGCCCACAGCCACACACACAGAGAGAGAGAGAGAGAGAGAGAGAGTGGGACCTCTGCTTAGCCATGAATGAGAGCCATGGCTAAGAGAGAGACCCGAAGCAACGCACACAAGTAAAAAGAAAGAAAAGAAAAAAAAACGAGGCATCAATAGCCACGATGATTTAGTTTTCCAGCTTCGGATTCGGCTTTGGTTTTGGTTTTGGTTTTGCTTTCAGCTTGGGCCACGACGATGAGGTTGCTCTTTGGCAATTCCAGCGATGATGACGCTGTGCATTTTTCTGAGCCAGCCTCGTGCGCTCATCTATCTGTCCGTGGAGACCCCGGACAACCCCGAGCCACAAGCAACAAGCAACAAGCCGCCAACACGCTCTCGAGTATAAAACTAAAATTGATGCGAATTTTTTTCTAACTTTTGCATCAACTTCAAACGCGGCAACACGTGCACCCCAGACGCTCCAAACCGAAACGAAGCACCTCCAGCGTTCGTTAAGAAGTTCGAAGTTGTGAAGTGAGTCTCAATCAGATACGGCGGGAATGCAATCTACTCCGATATATTCCGATCTACGTCCATCCATTCAGTGAGAGTGTGATGTGTGTGCTGTGCTGTGCTGTGTGTGTTTTGTGCGTGGCATTTAGATTGTGCTTCGAGTGCTGAGTGCTGAGTGCTGAGAGATCCAATCGCCAATTACGCAAATTAGTTCCCACGAGGAGTACAAAAACAAAAGCGACCCCAGCTGAACAACAAATTACGCATACGCATAGTGTGGCAATAAATGATGAGAAAATCTAAAAAAGGATAAGCCAAAAAAAAATACTTGATAAAAGGGAAACCTTGTAGTCCTTGGAAACTTTGAATCAAAATATTTAAATAATGGAACAAAATTTTGCAGATGATTCTTGACATTAGGGGTCAAATATTAATTGTAAAAATAAACTAAAAGAGTGAATAGCTCTAAATTTGTTCATATAATATGCAGAAATGTACTGCCAATGCAATCCCTGATTATGATCCAACAGGACGTTGATTTTTCAACCGAAAAGTCATGTAGTAAATAGCGAATTACTTTATGTGAAATTTGTCAAGGGTCAAGGGGAGTTACGAGGATACGCTGAGTTCCTTGGCAGGCATAAGACCTGGAGGATCGGTCTTTATTTGTTCCAGCTATGATCGTAATAAAAGCGGTCATAATTTGGCTAAATAAAAGCTGATTCAGCAATCCCAGAGGATCCCATGCTCAGTATGCCGAGAAATATTATTGGGATCCATTTTGTGCAGATTTCATAAGGAGAAACAGCATCAGACAAAGTGATAGACACTTAAGCGAGCAGCTTACAAAGCCCGGCCATGTAATTTCCATATCGGTTATGAGTGGATTCCCCCAGACATAGACACACAACATTTCCCAATGGCAGCTCCCGTCCCATAATGCCAAAAAACCAATAACAAACAGCAAATACCATAGCCGAATGAGCCATCAAATGCGATGTTAACAATTTGAGGTATTCTCAATTAAGATTCATTTGGGGCCAGGCCAGGCCATCCATTCGCCCGCTGCAAAAGTGAATGCAAACGGCAGCTGCAAGCATCCAAGAAACAGCCCAAGAAACAGCCGCCTGAACAGCAATGCCTGAATCTCCATTAGCAGTTGTGGTGGTGGTGGTGGGGCCGCCTCCTCCAACCACCCTTCCTAGTCCCCCCTACTCAGATGAGTCACAATAAACATGTAGATATAAAATCGAATTATATGCCACAGCAAAGAGAAGAAGATGCTGCCGCAAATAATTTCCTTTCTAAAACAAAAATCAAATACACAGAAAATTAAAATCCTCGACTCGTTTCGTTTCGTTTCGTTTTCTTTTCGATTTTCGTTTTGTATCTTTAGATAGTAACCGAACAGAAAAAAAATCACATTTAAATTACGTATTACCCCGAAATAAAAACCCGAAAAATCACAGACATCATGGAAGCAACAGCGAACAAATCACCGCAGCAGCAGCAGCAGCAGCAGCAACAACATCAGAAGAGGCAGCAGCAGCAGCAACACAGACAGCAGCAGCAGCAGCAGCAGCAGCAGGGGCAGTGGAGCCTCTTCTCGCGCAGCAGCAGCAGCAGCAGCATCTCCACGTACCACTGCCTCGGCCTACTGATTGTCGTGTTCGGAGTACTCTCGATGCTGCTGGCAGGGAACTGTGTCAATGGGGTAAGTCATCGTAAAGAGTCGCGTCTTCCTCCCCAGAAATGGTCGTCGCATCTTTTCGGGCTTTTATTGCTCACAATTATGATTGTAAAAAGGGTTTTTATGAGCCTGGGAAGTGGCTGATTGAATAATTTGTTGTTGGTGCGGGTGCTGGTGCTGGTGCGGGTGCGGGTGTGGTGTAATATCTGATCGTAATGTCTGTGCATTGATTTGACAACTTCATTGGGTTGCACAGACAACAAACGAGACAAACAACAAAAAAGTGTCATCTGAGATAGTTTCCGAGACATTCATTCCGAGTAAAAAACAATAAAGATTGCGCACACCATTTGTCTCTTGTTTGATATGGATCTACAGCACCAGCAACAACACGAACCACCCGTGCAACAGCCACCCTGCAACAACAACAACAGCAACAACAACAAACAGGCTCCCACGCAAAGTTGCAGTCACAGCAACAACAACAGCAACAGCAACAAAGTAACAATTGTTGCCACAAAAAAAGACCGAAAAAAATAGACCAAAAAGGTGCCTCAGCCTGTGCCTCTCCACGCTCCGCTCTCCATCTACCATCTACCATCTTCTTCTTTCTGTGTTGCAAGTGCAACAAAAAGAAGCTGAAGCAAAAGAGAGAAGAGGCTGCAGAGCAAGACGAGGGGGGGAGTAGCAGACAACCTGTCTGCCAAAGTGTTAGACATCTTCTCACGTCCAGAGGTAACCCAAAAGCTCCCTCAAGACTCAAGACGCCTCCTGCGCTTGCTCCTGCTCTTGCTCTACTCTTTTCTCTGGCTCCCTCTCCACAAGAAAGTGTCGTCATTGGGTCTATCCTCCTGAGCTCTGGAGTACTCTGACTACGAGGACTGACTATGATTAGTCAATGATTATGCTTTAGTTGTGATAGCATTTAGGAAGAGAAACAACAGATCCCAGGCAGAAACTGAAAATCAGAAAGATATATCATAGAATGCTAAACAATTACGCTTGAAGTCGGTTCAATTAGATCTATATTTCGGAAGGTTGTGGGATGATCAAAGAGTCCCCCAAGTGAAGTATTATGTGCCTAGATTCTGTCCCAAGAAGTGCTCAAAGAAGTGAAGTGGCCGAAGTCCAACAACATCCATTCCATAAGAGCACACAAAATTCGTTGAGCTGATCATCAGATTTGGCATCTGGCAGCTCGTGTTACATTATCAATTAGCCTTGGTTACCCCCCTAACCGCGCTTGGCAAACACAAACACAAACCAAAAGAAAATGCAGCGAAAATGCAAGGGAAAATTAACCGTTTTCCATTTTACATTTTCCATTTTGCATTTGTTAGTCCATACTCTTATGCCAGAGGGGGCCCCAGGCCCCAACTCGCGCACATCTCCGCTGTCTGCTTAAAGCGAATCGCTTGCTCGGCTCGGCTCGGCTCGGCTCGGCTTGGTATTTAAAGGAAAAACGCTCTCTGGCCAAAGGTTGAGACTTTGTGCAGAGTGGGAGGGAGGGAGGGGGGGGGAGAGTAATTGGGGAGCACAGGGCGGATGTGAAGTGTGGGACTGTCTGCCTTTTTGGGTTACTGAGGCAATGGGCGGTCTGCTCTGCTCTGCTCTCCTCTGGTCTATATAGTTTGTTGCTTCGAATCGTTTTTGTTGCAGTTGAAGTCGGAAAATGTGAAAAACCTCTGGAAAGTTATTAGCGTGAAAATTGGCCAGCGATTGGGAAAAGGCTGAAGCCCCCCGAATGGGCAGTGGGGGGGGAGCTGGAAATAGCTGCAGTAACAAGCACATCCAAATGAGAGGCAGAAGACAGAAGGTGCATCCCATCAGCCCCAGCGGGGCACTGAGAGAAATTAATGGATGGATTTAACATGAAGAGAGCTCCAAGGAAATCTCTTGGGAATATGGAGAAGTCAATGAAATAATTCTCAAAAATGTCTATGCTCCACAGCGACAAAATTTCCCACAACCAAAATCCATTAGCAAACACTCGACAGCCAGCCCCAGTGCCATCCATCCCATCCATCCCATTCCAATTCCCAGCCCATCAAATCTTTGCCCATAACCAATCCCCCCGCACTCCACTCCATCCTTTTCGACATTTTTAGATTAGCATAAACACCGCATTAACCCAAAAAACAACGACAGGCAAACTTTAACCCTTTTAAAGAGATCGTTGCAACCCCCCGCCCCACCCCACACCCTCCTGTTAAGGAGGCAGAAATGAAAGGTGGATTTATTTGAGCGTAACAGGAGGAATGGCAACTACAATGGGAAACTGCATTTAGAGATTAGAAATCGAGGCAAGATCAAGATAGTCGATGGAGATGCAACATACGAGCATGTACATGCCGCCAAATGAGGCTGGAACCAATGCATGGATGATGAGACAATAGAATCGAGAGACAGAGAAGGACGCCACACACTGGTGGGTCGGATCGGTCACATCGTGTGGTGTGTGTGTGTGTGTGTGTGGTGTGTGTCGTGATCCATGATGATGAGGTGGCTGCCACGCTTTATTGTTTCTCTCCCTCTTCGTTGTTGTTTTTTTTCGGTGTGCTTTTCATGGTTTCGTACGCATGAGATTGACAGTTGGTTGTCACATACTCCCCCTCCCCCTCCCCCTCTCCACCCTTCCCCACTCCCCGTGCAACTGTTGCAAGTGCACAGATTTTCAACACTCACCTCACCGATTCTTTTGTTGGCTGAGTTCAGTTTTTGGGGCTGTTGCAGCATTTGCATTTTAGATTTTTCCTTCGTTGTGTGGCAATTGTTTCAAAATGTAATTTTGTGATTGTTTAGAGTTCATTTTGTTGGTGTTGCTGATGCGGCTGCTTGAGCAATGTGCAACAACCCCAATCCACACCCACACCCACTCCCACCCCACTGAAGGTCGGGCCAGCGATGAGATAATTCCCACAACAGAATCAGCAGCAACTTACGAGCATAATATACTTATGAATAATGTGCTCGTTGTTTTGTTTTCTTTTCTTTTCGTTGCAGCAAATCGATGGCTACATTGCTGGCGAGGACTATCCAGCGTACGATGCGGTGCCCAAGGGTCTGGCCTTCAACTGCCAGGGACGCCAGCCAGGCTACTATGCGGACACAGAGACGCGTTGTCAGGTGAGCTATAAGGCAGGAGGAAACCCCACAAAAATTGTCAACTAAACTCCGTTTTTGTAACTCTCGAAGGTGTGGCATTGGTGCCTGCATTCCGGCCATCAGTACTCCTTCCTCTGCCCCAATGGCACTGTCTTCAATCAGGCCGTTCGTGTGTGCGATTGGTGGTCGAATGTGAACTGCGCCAGCTCCGAGCAGCTCTACCAGAACAACGATGAGCTCTATCGCGTCCCAGAGCGCAACCAGCAGCAGCAGCAGCAGCAGCAGCAGCAGAACGATGTATGATATGAGGCCGATGATGAGTATAAGATTGGGACAGCAAATGGAACCAGAGAGCGGGGCGGCAGACAGCGGCAATTTCAGCAAGCACAATACAATAGCAACAGCAACAGCAACACTATCAACAGCAGTAGCAGCAGCAGCAGCAGCAATAATAGAATCCTAGATAGCAGCGACTACAATAAAATGACCAAAAATAGTTTTAGAGGTAGCATGAGATACAGTACCAATCCTCAATCAACATACTCATCATCACAGCAGCAGAAGCAACAGCAGCAGAAGCAGCAGCAACAGCAGCAGCAGCAACAACAGCAGCAGAAGGAGAAGCAGCAGCAGCAGCAGCAACATAATTCTAGTAAAAGTAATAGCGAAAGGAAATCAAAGCCTAGCAGTAGCAGTAAGCAGAAAAATAGAGCTAACCATAGTAGAGTAGAGAGCAACCAAACTAGATCTAGGAATCGCACACATCACAACAGCAACAGCAACGGCAGCAACAGCAGCAGCAGCAGCAGCAACAATCAGAAAAGGAAGAACAACAGCAGCAACAGCAACCAGAAAAAGAAGAACAACAGCAGCAGCAGCAGCAGTCCACGGGGCATGCAACGCTACAACACAAATCAATTCGAAAACGATGCAGAGCTCAAGGATTACAAGAGCAAAATCAAGAACAAATACAACATCGACTATGATCATTCTTTGGATGAAGAATATGAAATAATCGAAGCCATTGAATGAATTAATTTGGCTTGGCTTGGCTTGGCTGTACGCTGGTTGTTCTCATTGTTTAACGCAATTAAACAATAACAGAAACCAAAATTGGCGCCAACTTTGTGACCTCTGCTTTGGACTCTGTTCAAATGTTTCCCAAAATTATCTTTTGTACATACATATACATATAAAAACAAAACATCCTTATCATTGTTAAATACCAATAACATTTCATGCTCATTTAAATTTGTAAAATAAAAAAAAACCTTTTGCTTGTGATGTGAAATAATATTCACTCATGAAATAAAATTTGAAAAATTAGTAACCGCCTCTTTTTGGCTAACGGTTACAAGCAGTAGACGCATAACAGCCAGCTCTTGTCAGTGAGCAGTACTAAAGAGTAACAAAAAAAACAGTTACAAGCAGTACATGCATAGCAGCCAGCTCTTGTCAGTGAGCAGTACTAAAGAATAAACTGTTACAAGCAGTACTTATCGGTAAGCAGTAACTGTTGCAAGCAGTGCTTAACGACCATCTCTGGTTTATTTCTGAGGATCAGATGTGGGTATATTTTACCGATAGATCTGCGGTCACACTGGCTTCCAGCTTTTTTGTTGTTTGTTTTTGTTTTGTTAATTCTGATAGATTCCATCTCAAATATTAGATTTTCTTTGTTTAAACTCTTGGCCCGGTTGTGTATTTGTACTGCGATGGAACTAGGCCTACGGAAGTGTGGATAAATGATGCGGTAATTATGGCAAACAGTGAGGAGCCGCCGCCTTATCGGAAAGGTCTATTTTCTTTGGAATTACGCATGGGAGTGGAAATTATGCCAAGTCAGCTGAAATTTGAGGCTGGAAAGTGAACGAAAAAGTGGCCCAAATGGAAGGTGAATGTCTGCCAGAGCTCTCGAGTGGAATGAGCAGGCGGCAGACACTGGTCGCCCTTCACTTGGGCTTCCACTTTGGCTTAAAATCAACCAAATGATATAATGGAAATGCAGTGGAAAATGTTGTGTAGGGTTCCGGTCCATAGGAAGAGATATTTTAGACAGAACTCTGCAAAGTGAGAGGATTGATAGGCCCCAGAAGAACTGTATCCAATCCCTACAAATACTTCAATATGCGTTACTTAATTCTACAAATATAACACCTGAAAACAAACCAGTTACACTCCGCTATCCCCTCTCTGCCACCCTCTGAAACCCCATGACATCCAGCTGCATAACTAAAATTCAAATTAGGAAGAAATACTCGCAGCAGAGTGGTAGAAGTAGTTCAAGTTTTGTATGCCAACACGCCTGAGACATACCATTTCCGCATCAAATACAAGCAGATCGGTAATTATATACCACAAATGTATGTATTTACATACATATGTATATTCGGGTAGTCGTACACCTACGCAATGGCAGTCGTTCATGCATAAGAAATAAGCCTCCGACTGTGATGCGGAAATATCATCGAAGACCCGGCCCGGCCCGGCTTTAGGCAAATGAACGGAGAAACGGAGCAACAAAAAAAAAACCTAATTAAAAGTCAATTTCAATTTCAGTCATTAACCGAAAGCCGAACAAAGTTTGACACAATTTCGTGTACCACTTTGTGGCGGCCCAAAGACACCTCCGCGAGATGTCCCACCTCCCCACCCCACACTCAGACAACCTCTTTTTCCTGCCTCAAGCAAATGTTATAATATTTTCCCGACTTGACCATTCACCGGTGGTGGTGGTGGTGGTGGTGGTGGTGGTGTTGGTGGTCACCCACATTCGGTTTTGTTTCCCTACGCTACGGTTTTTAATGGCTAAGACAACCACAATAATAATGGCTGCAACGAACTGGTAACTGGAGTCGAGTTAACACCATTTCCATTATGTAAGAGCCTTCTCTTGAACAATATTTCGTCTCTTTGTTACGGCTAGCCCAGCCGGTGGGGTGGGAATTGTCCACTAATTAATATGCAACTAAATAATTTACAATGTGACGCGAATTTTATGCAAAATATCCAAACGGAATATGATCCACAGAGAGGAGCAGGAAAATGATAGAGCGAAGAGAGAGAAAGAAAAAAATACAAATTATTTCATTAACTTAACTTGAAAATGTTGAAATTGTCTTTAATAAATTGCAAAAATTCAATTTATGAGCAAGAGAGGCATTTAACGTAGCAATAAAGAAGAAATCCATTTATATATATTTATTTCATCTCTCTGCATCTGCATTCATCGTCTCTGAATGGAGTCAAACTGCAGGAGAACTTCCTCCAAGATAGCTTAAAACTGCAGCTGTTGCCTCTGTTCTATCATTGCCAAAGTGCTACAGGTTCTTCAAGATCAGAGAAGAGTAACCAAAAATCAGGCACTGCCCCCATAGCCGAAAAAAAAAAGAAGAAGAGTAACAATATCGGCAAAATGTCAGAAGGTCTTTCAAGGTATCTGGTCTCGAAAAACCGGTAGATCCACGCACACACAATACCCAGCGGTCAGCGGACACCAACCAGAGACGAGACCCCAGACTCATCTTGTCATCATCATGCTACGAGTACGTACGGGTACGGGTACGGGTACGGGTACGAGTATGTGAAGTGTCTGCGACTGCTTCTGCGAAATCTTCTTAAAGATTTGCCTGTCCAGCCTGTCACACTGAATCTTGTCCATCCATTATCTCCATTTCGCTTTGAGGCTCGAGTAGCGGGGTGGGTCCCTGAGTTTTCCGCTTTTATGCGACAATTCAACTTCAGCATTTACAAAAGTTTTGCATTCGCCCCAATGGCCAGGAAGAGACGCTACGCGACGCACTGCCACTGGCACTCCACCTCCAGTGAACGGACGAAGGCAATCCACTTTGTATATATGTAATTTCTGCAACTGGTTTTTGTATCTTTTATTTTTCTGATTTTTTGCAATGCAACTTGGGGTTGTCGCATGCGTTTTGAAATTAATGTAAAACATTTCGTTATGGTTTGTTTTTCCCTCTAAGAGACTACTCCTCGGGTCTCCAGCAGCAGCGTCCAGCGGTGAAGTTGAAGTTGATTTGTGTGCTTAGTATAATTGCTGCGATTATCGAAGAGGATTGCTGAAGAGGAGTCGACTCTGCCTCTGCATCTGCCTCTCATCTCATCGGGCTCTGGTCCCTGGTCTCCGGCTGTCTGGTTTCGTTTGGGGTAAGGTTAAGTCGCTTTTTGTTAAGCGATTGTCAAGTGTATTCAAATCCAAAAAGATGCAAACTCTTTGGCCAGTTTTGACAGTGGTTTGTCTCTTCAATTCGTCAGTTTGCCGACAGCAGGCGCAGTGGCGTGCGCTGTAAGGGGGTGTACCAAGTGGAGTCTCCAGCGGAAGGTTGAAGGTGCCATAAAAATATGGTTCATTATCAGGGCCTTTTGGGAGCAAGAGTTGATTGATTGACTTATGATTTGAATCGTTTTGGATCAGAGTTCAATGAAATGAGTTTAAAATTTGAATATTACTTGAGAGATTTGGGTTTTATTTTGGGACTTTCAGGGTTCAATGATTGCTCGAGTATTGTTTGGAAATAAATGTAAATTTGATGACTTCAGGGTGTAAGTATACAGCATATCATATGAAGATACACTCTGGTATGTTTTTGGGCCTATGGGATCTTCCTTTTAAATATATTACCTCTATAGACCTCCCATCCATAGATTACCTTTAAAGTATAAAGACCTTCGCTGAGCCTCTCTTTCTTGGCATTACCAAATCTCCACATGATTCAAGGTTTCCTCCGTCCCAAAAATTGGATCTTCTTGCTCCCCTGAACATTTATTTCTCTCGATTTAAATATTCAACTTAATCAAACAACCATTTTCTATGCTAATCAAGCAATTTGACCTGCCTCAAGCCTCCACACACACACACACACACACACACACTCACACAAATATTTCCATATATGTATGTATCAACCATTTTGTTGGTCACACCTTTTGCTCCAGTTTTCGGGCCATTTTTCGCAATCCAATTTGTTTACTCTGCTGGGGATCATCTTTCGTTCGATTCAAATTAATTTTCAGTCAAATTAAAGCGAAATTAGTTTTGTTTAACTTTTACAGGGAGCCGAAAATACCCCCCGAAAATAAAGAAAGAAGAGAAAGAGTGACAAAAAGTGAACGAAACGAATGGCGATGCGATGCGATGCGATGCTCTATGCAAATTAACATAATTAAGGTGCCTATGCTCAATGAAAGACGAACCTCAATCAACACTACTATCGAATGCAAATGAGCCCAAAGACCATCCATGGAGGCGACATCACTCAAGCAGCCGAAAGCGAAATGTGCAGCATCACAGCAGCAAAACTTTAAAGCCAACAATTGCATAATAAAACCGTGAAGACAGCAGGAAGGAGAGGGCAGCAGACACCAGAGGAAGCGCTATAGAGAGAGAGAGAGAGAGAGAGACGACCTCATTTACCCAAAATCGCAATCGTTGATCAAAGATTAAGAGACTCAGAGAGAGAGAGAGAGAGATCCAAGCAAACATTATGGATCTTTGGGTAATACTGCATCAGGTGTGCCTGCATGTGCTGGACGTTTTTAAGATCTACTTAAAGTTTGCATTCCTCACGCTGATCGTCTACCTGGTGGCCGAATGGTATATCATACGCTATGGCGCTGAGCTGGAGGCCCAACTGGATGCCCATCTGGTGGAGGGCGCCGAGCGGCCAGAGGACACCGACGAGCGGGCCGCCTCGAATACCACTCTCGGCAAGGTGTTTCGGTTTGTGGTGAACTTTTTCATCCTATAAACAGGTGATGGATCGAACACAGTAGCCACCAACAACCAATACACTGAGCGACCAAGGTCAATCACGAAGTTGAATCGATTTTCTGTCTTTCGCGGAATTGTAATTCGATTCAGCAGACAGGCCAGGCAGGCAGGCAGCAGGCAACATCTCAAGGCTCCGCCCCGTTAAGAGAATGTACAAAAACTTATGATACAATCGAACCAGTTGCACATTAAGCAACAACAATAAAACAATAACAATAAGGAGCGAACTGTAAAAAAACAAGTTGAACTGCTTTTTACTGTGGAGGGGGCGGAGGGATTGGGGTTCCTTCATTTAGTTACAACAATATTTACATTACATTTGGATTTCTTTTGGTCAACAGAATGTACAGTACAATGACTCAGAACTGATTTTAGGGTGAGGCTGGCACGAAACGAATTTGGGCTAATTGAAAAAGCAACAAACAAAAAAACGGTCACCACAAAAAAACACCGCAAGAAATTCGAATAAAATAAAGAGAACTGAAATGCAAAATAAACTGCAATTGTTAAGGTACTTTTTAGGGGCTCAGCGTTGCGATTCTTTGTTGAATTTCAAGTGAACCAAAAGGCAAGACGCATGGAATGCAATGCCCTCTAAAATATTCCGAAAATTCCTCAGACATTCATTGAAAAATATCCAATTTGGAAAGCCAAATCTTAGCTCCAAAGTTGCATTTCCCATCACATCAAATCTCGAACAAACTACAGACAAAATCCTACTACCACTTCAAGACAGTATTACAATAAAAACTAAACCCAAATATTACATTTTTATCAGCGGAGAGGGAGGGGAGGGTACTATCTAAAGCAGCGAAGCATTAGCGGAACGATCGATCTGTAAGGTAATGGTGTGGAGGTAGCAGTAGGCTGTTGAAATTGGTGCTTTGGTGGTTTTGCTTTTGCTGGTGGTTTTTGTCGACCAGTTAAGTTAAGTTACAACACGTTGACGTTGTCGCAGTGGTTGTGCATGTGTGTGTGTGGCTACCTGCCACTGCCACTAATGTGGAATACCGGTTCAACAAACCGTTCAGCAACAGGCGACAAGCGGCGACCCACACACACAGTGCTCCCATTCTCATACAGATATGGGGAGGGGAGCAGGTACAGATACAATATAGAGGAGGAGTGGAGTAGAGTAGAGTATCTGTGTAAGTGGGAATGGATGAACGTGTAACTAGATCGGAGGCGCACGCCGTGCAGCACTCGCAGCAAATCCATTCCGCATGCTACAGATACGAGAAGCGGTTTTGGGTCTCTGCTCCCAATTTGAATACCAAAACAATCGCCAGACTTGAGTTCAATCCGCTTGAGTAGAGTTTGCTTTTGGGATTGAGCTTAGTTCGTTTCGTTTTTCCAATGCAACTTTCACACACGGAACGAAACGCAGATGTCGATGCCGATGCCGATGCCGATGCAGTGCAGTGCAGTGCAGTACTTTGTGACGCAATGGAGAGGCAGAGCCGAGTGCCATAATCCCCCCCATCGACTGATTGATTCCCCAAGCAAACAGAGTCTGGTTTAATGTTTAGTTAGCATTATTTTGCATTCGAATCGAAATCCAAACTGCACTCGAAATGGCCTACGGCTGCGTATGCTCGTCCAACATTTAATTGCTAAACGAAGCGAGCCACTCGAGCGGACCACGGACCACAGACCACGGAACATGCGGCGTATGCGCAATAATTCATGAGCCGTTTAAATTATTTTTGGTTTATTTTCAATCTTCTTCGCTGTGTTTGTGTTTGTGTGACTAATGCCCTGGCAGATGGCTTAGAGTCGGGGTTTTGGGCCAAGACTCGGTTCATTAATTGAACTGTAACCGTCATTTTGGTTGGGTTTTTGTTATTGTTTTGCTTCCCCCATTATGTCATTGCGGTCAACCAACGTAAGGGGCAAGGAGGAAGAAAAGGCATTTATTTCATTTGAAAACTTGTACAAATATATCATGCATATTAGTTGGTAATCGATAATAGATCATGAGCAATTTGTTAAGTAATTTAAAAATGGGTTAAACAAAAAGCTACAATGGATGAGGGTTGTAATATAGAGGGGAACAATATATGTACATACATATGTATATGTCTTTTTAAATTAAAGATTTTGTTGCTCATGTGTCCACACTTTACGGAACTCAATTTTAAACTTAGGAAAAATCCTCAGACAATGCTGAACAATTTCAACAATTTTTATTTCTGGATTAAAAACTTCATCAAAATTCCCAAAAAAATAATATCAACCATTACACCACAAATTGCTCACTTGAGGACAAGTATTAATTTCTGTTACATTTTTACCATATTTTGCAAGAAAATGAGACTGGGGTAAAAAATCTTAATCAGTAAACCTGTTAAGCACGATTATCGAGCAGTGGCGCACAGCACACCACACGCTCAAAATGCAGAGCAAAGTCACAGAAAAGAAAAGGCACAACACACAAAAGCAGAGAAGCAAAGAAGCAAAGCCACAGAAGCCAAAGTACATATCAAAGGTATAGAAGGTCTCTGCTTCTGCTTCTGCAAAAGTTCCAGAAGAAACGCCACTGTGCAAAAGCAAATAATCACATAAGCATAAGCCAACAAAGTCACAGAGAGAGGCAAAGTCTCAAAACCAAAGACACAACACACTCAAAGCTTAAGAAAAGCTCAACCTCTAACTTTGAGTGGATAGGAGAGACTTGCGCTCTGCTCTGCTCTGCTCGGCTCGGCTCTCTTCTGCTGCTGCTGCTGGTGCTGGTGCTGCTTTTGCGGTGACAACGTGCAGAGCATGCGCAAAGCGCAAAGCCGAATGCCGTCGAAGCGGCAATAAACCTGTTTGGAGTGGAGCATGCGCATGCGCGGTGGCCGCAGACGAACCAAAATTAGCAACGAAGAGAGCTTTTGGGGGTAGAAAAAGCAAAGGCAAAAAGCAAAACCGAATTCCCATTTTTATGCCAACCTCGCGCGTTGGCCAATACGATCTGCAACTTTAGACATCAGACTGCAAGCGGTCAGCCAGGTGAACGGCAGCCAACACAGCCACCTCGCACAAAGTAAGTGGGCGTGGCAAATCCGAGTGCATATCTATGTACATATATCTATCTGTGTGTTTGTGCGCGTGTGCAGTGTGCGATGTCAAAACTTATATAAAAATCATAATAAATCAGAGATCCAAAGCAAAATCAAGTGCATTTCGGATTCAAATCAAAAAGTGTTGCCGGAAAAAGTGCTGCAAAGTGAATGAATTGCTGCGGAAAAGTGCTGCCAATCATAAAATAATTAAAAATTAAATGATTTTTAATGTAAAATCAGTTATAAAATGAGCAAAAACAGCTATAAAAATTTCCACAAACACAAATGGAGAGACGCAGACACACACTCACACACACACATGTAAAACAAAGAAAATTGCATTGAAAAATTGCAAGTAAATGTTTCTGTGTGCTTGTGTGTGTATGGATTCGTATCTGTGTTTGCGTCAGTGGCAATATTTATTGTTCATTTAGGAAATAATTTTCTTTATATCAAATTTATAGAAAAATACAATCAAAATCAAAGGGGGAAAAATTGCAAAACCAAAAGCTTTGAAGATTCCTGTGGATTATTTTAGCAAGCATTTTGGAGACACAGAAAAAGGTAAGAGTATATATTTATAGATATATAAGTCAAACACCTCCGTGCAGAGCCAACACCTTTTGCACCGCAAAACCCCTCCTCTATCGACCATATCCGACCATCTCCCATGGCCAAAATATACAAACAGCGTTTTGCAAACTCAAAAATGATCTCAGGCGTTGCTAATTATTTCTTTGCGCCTTGTACAATACCTAGGTATATTGTTAGCCAGTGTTACACCGCCCTCCCCCTAACATCGAGGCGGTCCTCCTCTTTGATAGCCCCGTGCTACAGTTTGTTGGCTGTTGTTGTCTGCGCATCTTCAGCGAACACCAAAACAGCAGCAACAGCAGCAACACCACGAATATGGCCAACATAACTGAGCCAAGATTTTACTTTCATCATCGCGACCATCAAGCGACCAACAGGCAACAAACAGCAGCAGCAGCAGCAGCAGCAGCAGCAGCAGCAGCAGCAGCAGCAGCAGCAATAGCAGCAACAGCAGGCAGGCAGCAACAAATGAAATTTTGAAATTTTACTTTCATCCATCTCTCTCGTCTCGTCTCGTCTCGTCTTGAAAAACGACGTTTTGTGAATTTTATTTGGTGCGTCGCTTTTCACTCTCCATTTCTTTGCTCTTTGTACTTTTTCACAATTACGAAAAATATAGCACTAATATTTTGATAATTGCACCCAGTAGGAGTGTACTCGTAGACTGTTTCTTGGTTTTCTTTTCTCTTGGGAAACGCAACTGAAGTGAACCCTCTGCAGCAGGTCAGACCGATAGTCCCCACAACCACATCCCCATCCCCATCCCAGCATCGGATTGGATCGGGGACAACCGGAATGGGCGATTAAAACTTATTTGTGGAACAGCTTCAGCAACTTTGAGACAGAAAAAAACAAGCACAAATTGATTTTGGATTCGGTTTTTGGACTTGGACTTGGATTTGTATGTGGATGTGGCGGCAAAAAGGAAACTTAGTTTTCACTTGCCGCCATCGCACATGGCACACAGCACATGGCATGGCATCGCATCGCATCGTCGGTGTGTCAGCGACACGAAGATGCTGTTCGAGATGCAAACAGCTGGAGGGAAAATGCATAAAGAAAATCGACTGGCAGGCGGGCTATGGTTGAGTTAGCCCGAAGATTTAGGTGATAGATGGGGCCTAATTGGAGGATTTTTCACAAGGGAAACTTTGTCACCGGCAGACGAGGGAAGGTAAAACCAGAAAACAGAGAAAACCGATCTAAAGAATCATGGCAGACTCAAATGTAATGGGTTTTTTCGGGCATTCTCTTTTTCAGCAATCGCTTGTGTGTCTCGAGTCGTGCATCAATGTGTGGGAGCGATGGCAGCTGTTGGGAACAAGGATTAGAATGTAATCGGTCATATTAGAGATCCCAAGACACATGGAACGTGCTCGTTCCAATGCAGCTACTTTTCAAACCTTTCAAAACAATATGTTCCAATGAAAACCCATTAAATGAGGGAATGAATTATTGTCCAAATGCCTACTAACCAATAACAAACTCGTCTGATTACCTCAAAGCAAGATTTCCCTTCTAGAAAGAATCTATACATAAAATCTATTCAAGAGCACAACTTTGAGTGGATATTCCTAATTCTCTCGAATGTCCCTCGAATAAATTTAAGTTCTTGGAACTACAATATATATGTAGGTATATAATATTTTTTGCCAAGGCAAATTGCTTTAATTTAAATGATTTAGCAATCAAATTAGACAAATTAATATGAAATCTAATCAAGACGCGTTATGGTCTGGTGAATCAACAAATTTTCTGCCCAATTAAGAGCTCAAGCCTTCAAGCAAGAATCAGCTTCCTCAAAGCCATAGATATACATATATATGAGATAATGCCAACTGAAGCATAAAAAGTATGCTCGAATTCCGAAATTAATAAAAACTAATAAAACTAGTGTGCCATCAGGTGCCAGGGAGAGGAGATATTAGATCTGCAGTGCAAACAGAAGAGGCGACCTTGAAAGTACCAAAAGCGAAGCTCAGCGCAGATCAGCTCTCATAACAGCTTATAAAGATGCTAATTTCCTGTGACAACCAGCGACATGGCGACCCGTCTTGGCCAGCTGGCAAAACTGGCTAAAAGAGAGAATGGAGGAATGGAGCAGAGGGAAGACAGATGATTGCAGACACAAAAAACTTGTCAACGACTTCTGTTTCTATCGTGCAACCGGATTGGGGCAGCCACTCGAGCCATGATAATGATTGTCCCCCGGCCGGACACACGAAACCCGTTGCTGACGTCGAAGAAATTTTATATGAAAATTAGATGCAAATGAAAACGAGAGTTTATTTTTCAGAGGGTCTAGACTCTAGACTGTAGAGGAGATGTGATGCTGCCTTTGGCCATGAATGCATGGTGGAAAATAAATATATAAAAATGAATTTAATTGTGCATTGTGTGTGGTGTGCGTGTGGTGTTGTGTGGTGTGGTGTGGGAGGAACTGAGAAAAACCTTCGAGGCTGCTAATTCTAGGCGCCGCTTATGGTTGCAGAGAGAATCTTTGAATCTATGTTGGGAAATTTTGCAAACATTTCAAGGAAAAACAATACAAACAAAATACAAAAATTTAAGTGGATCTATTAAATGCTAGTCCTAAACCAGATCTACATTTTATTGGGGTACATTTCCGTTCATTGTACTGGCAGATGATCCATCAATTAATTCCCAAAACAAAAGCAGCAACAATACCAATAATAAAAAATATAAAAACTTACCGGCATTTGTCATCGTGCTTAGCCTTGAATTTGAACTTGGCCAAGACAATGCGGGTAAGGTGAGGCCTGCCTGCTCATCGAGACCCAGACAATTTATTGTCGTGCGCTTCGAGCTATGCTCTTTTTCGGTCGGAGTCTGTGAATCCGTGGGCTGTAAAAGATTAGATGCCAAAAATTAATATATTAATATTTCATTTATGGGCCCATGCACTGCACTAAATTTAAACAAAAGCCACGCCAGGCCATAAGCTTAATACTTTGTTTAGAAGGCAGGCGATTTATCACTAATATTCGAAGACAGCTAATGGCTAAGGCTGGCCTCAACTTAAAGCCCAGACAAGGCGGCTGCAAATGTACATAGAAGGGGTAAAAACTGACACCAGGTTGATTGATGGTAGGTTTTTAGAGAGATTGGTTTGAGGCCCATAACTGGCTGGGAGAAGGCCTTAAGCGAAGCTAGTGCTACTAGAGCAACCTCCGCCTCTATTGTAGATTACAAGTGGGGAATCATTGGAACATTTATTTAGATGTTAACTCGACCAATGAGTACCACTCAGGTTACACGTAAATGTGGAAACATTTCCCCATTTGAACAAATTCTACAAATGCCAAAGATGTCTTCCTACTTATTCGTGTTTATTCATGTTATGTTAGGTGAATCATAAAACCCATTAGGGAAGAATTACTCCATAAATGTTGCAAGTAGGTAGGAAACTTTAAGAATAAAATTGATCCCTTACCAAGGGATATATTTAGGTAGCAGAAACAGACAAAATATAAATATTCCCTAGGTATAGAATGCAATATGGGGATGGGGTAATAACAGACGCAAATAATTGTTATATTATGATGGGAAATAATTAATGATAAGGGTAAAACCAGGCAGGCAAAGCTTGAATAAACGCAAAATGAATTAATAGAAGCATTAATTGGGTTTCGAAAAGAGATTATTAAAATAGAAGTTTCCGTCTCGATATAAAGACCAAATCTCGTGCTAAACTTAGGGTTAAGGTTCCTAATCCCAGGTGCAAACACACGATTACGGAAAAACTTACACAATGTGCACTTGTGCATTCTCCACTCCCCAGAGAACCCTTTGGCATTTCCATACCATGTAGACATTAATTTCCATTGAAATTGTTATCTGAGCAAATCACCACAGAGCCACAACCATTATCATATTTTGTCAGCGAGGACAGACATACATATATACATATGTATATATACATATATCTGAACAAACAGAGTCACAGCCCACGCAGGGAGACGAAATGTCAAAAAGTGCAAAGCAGCTAAAAGCCACAAACAGACGACTGACGGACCGACGGACAGACATCAAATCAAATCCAATCAAATCTCCACTTAAAATGCACGACACACATTTTGTTTAAACAACAACAACAACTGCAGCAACAGCAACAAAAACAGACACAGAAACAGGGTGTGAACGGCAACATCTTTGAACCTCCGATGGGGCATAAAATTTGAGCAAAAATTGTGCCATGAATAAACCGTCGAGGAGCAGTCGGAGGAGGAGATGAAGAAGGAGAAGGAGAAGGAGGAGCGTAGCGTCCTCTTGAGTGCTCAAGGAAACCCCAATAATATAAAACAATGCATAATAAATACATTTCCAAAGGCAGCCAAAAGTTGCATTCAACTCTGTTTATCGACTGCCAAATTACAATGCTCCAATGATCTTTTAGGGGGCTGGCGCTGGCAGTCGTTTTGCATTCAATTTTGTGTGGACGAAACGAAGACCCGAAAGCGTCTTTGCTCGAAAAAAAAAAAAAAAAACGCATTGGAAATGAAAGTGATTGCTGATTGTCGGGTTGTTCGTTCGCTTTTCAATTTGTTATAGTTATGCATTGTGTTTGTATTATTATGTGGTCGGTCGCTTGGTCGGTCGGCAGTACTTACTTATTTATTTTGCTGTGGCTGCTACCCTTTCAATTTCGCCCGAAACCAAATGGCTTTGGGTAGGGGGGTACGGGGTACGGGTACGGGTACAGGGCGCTCTCCTTACGTAAGGTTCCCCCCGCCAAAAAGTGACATTGAAGGCTGACACCAAAGCTAATTATGCAATTACCCACCGACAAGCAAACGACACCTGAGACGGAAATCGGAAAGTGAAGCCGATTGGAAGGTGTACTTCCACACAATGAATTTGTGCTTAAATATAGCACATAATGAGAGCATGTTGTATTTAGTTAATGGAACATTTAGCGAAGAATGAGATGAGTAATCGCATGGAATTACCTTGGCTGTTTTTTGCTCGTTAGTTAATCAAATAACGATCCTTTCCAATGCGACCGATACAGGGCGGGGCTTTTCAGTCCAGAGGGCCATCTTTGGATTGTTTTTCGCTGTGTGTTTTCTTTATACATTATCTGTATTCCTCAAAGTATTTTCACTTCTACCCAAAACGTTGGCCAGACAAATGGAAAAGAAAATTCAACAGCAAACCCCAAACCAAGTAAAGAACACTTTCTACAGCCAATTTTAGCCAGAATGCATTTCTTTTCCGCCTTTAAAATACACGCAAGCCGAAGCTCTCCCCAACTTGAATGACAGCCGCAGAAAGTAGCGTTAGTCCCCGGGAAGAACGTGTCTGTAATATCAACCAGTACCCAGAACATGGGGCCCCAAAGGGAACGAGAGACAATTCTTTTGTTTCTTTTTGTTTTCGAAGCGTTCAACGACTTGGTCTAGAACATAAATAATTTACCGCGATGGCGTGGGTGTGGCTCTGGTTCTGGCTAATGGTTATTTTAATGTGTTATGTAATATTTGTGTGGCATTATCGTTTCAGTTAAGCGACAAGTGGTGTTATATCCCCAAGGAGATCAAGAGAAATCTTCAAGATGAAAAGCGCCAAGCGCTGGCTGTTCATGACAGCAACAGGTGAGAGGATAAACGCACACAATGAAAACCCACATAATCGTGTGTTTCGAACGGGTTCCTGTCCTGCGGATTATGCAATCTTTCAAGTTTTTGATTACGTTTTTGTTTCCAGTGCTGCTGCTGAGCCTGTTGGCCTGCTCAGAGGCTGCCCTGCCCTTCAAAAAGGTCTCCATTGCCAAGACACCCGCCTCTACAAGCAGCACCACCAGCACCAGTACAACCACAGAGGACACACCCGTCGAAGAGGAGAACACACCAGTGCCACCCAGTGGCGAGGGCAGCAGCAGCAGCAGCAACAGCGACGTTGCCAAGGTGAGCGATGGGAAGTTGGGGAAGATTATTCCCGTGGCTTACTCGATTATTTATGGTGTAAACTCTCCCCTGCCAGGCGGACAATAACACTCGCACGTCGACAAAGAACTCCAAGCTGACGGGCATACCGCAAATCGATTATATTTGGGATCCCAATCTGCCAAGGGAACTGCATGGGTAAGTAACGAAGAGTGTGTGTGAGTCTGTCTAAGCATCTGATGCAGCATCGTTTCTCGCTTCCCAACAGCTTCAATCTGTCGACTTATCCCTTCCTGTCGACGGTGCCACCCATGGATGAGATCCACTTCAAGTGCGAGGGCCTCCACGATGGTTTCTATGCCTCCATTGAGTACAAATGTCAGGTGAGAGCAAAGAGGCAAGAGGCGACAAGGCGACGCACGACCTTGTCCAATTGGTCAAACACTGCCAGCCAAAACCCTATGTGCATGTCCAGTAATTTCTCTTTTTCAACGCTCAACGGCGGGTTTACGGGTTTACGTGACGCCAAAACTGGTTTACGCCGTTCGATCTTGACCTCAAAACGGGGAACTTTGTTTTGCCAGCGCTAAACGTTTGGATTAGTTATGGCCAAATAATGGAATGAACTAACAGACACCACTTGGACAACATCATCTCATTGCAGATATATCATCATTGCGTCTATGGGATACGGCACGATTTTCTGTGCGCCAACTTCACGGCCTTCGATCAGAAGACATTCATCTGTCACTTTGCCTCCGATGTGGACTGCGAGGGATCCCAAAAGTACTGGAGTAGGTAAGAGATCTTCGAGTGAACTTTGAGGAAAAACCAGGCTAAGCCTACCTATATATTTGCAGGAACGATGCACTCTATATGGCCACCACTACCACCTCCACGACCACCACAACCATTGCGCCGCCGCCCACGCAACCGGCTGCACCGCGTCGTCGGCTGCAGAGACCACAGCGACCGCTGAGGCGGCCGTACAACCGGCGACCCATCGATGACTACTACTACGATGAGGAGGATCAGTATGAGGACGAGTATTACGAGCGACCGACGCGCAGGCACAAGACCAGGCCGCGTCAGCGCAAGCCCCAGCTGGACGCGGACTACGAAGATGAGTATGAGGAGAAGCGGGTCGAGCCTGAAAAGCCGACAAGACGCAACCGAAATCGGTACAGGGATGAGGAGGAGTCGCTGGACGAGGACTACGAGGAGCGGCCGGCAATCCGTAGGGGAAAACCCACGCCGGGAGCCGCTGGCCGGAAGGTGGCGCCGCCTCGAAAGCCCGGACGAGCTGAGGAGCGACGCAGCTTCAATGACGATCGACCGCTGGCCAGGCGCCGCAGCAACGAGAAGCGCACAACGCCCTCGTCCGCCATCGACGATCTGGATGAGTACGAGAAGCCGTACGGCGGCACGGACCAGGAGGAGGCTGCCGAGGAGCAGACGCCGCAGAAGGTGAAGACCACACCGAAACCCCTGACGGAATATATCACGCCCAAGGCGGCCGCCGCCTCTGTCTACGCCCGTCCCAGGGCTCCCCCAAAGATCGCCCGCCCCGTGCCCATCACCGAGAAGAAGAAGTACTCCTATCCGGTGCAGAAGAACACGGCCACCGCCCAGCCGCCGTCTGGGAATGGGCAGGATGAGGAGGACTACTCCCAGGAGCAGGCCCAGGAAGATGACTACGAGCAACCGCCGCCGCCGCCGGCCAGGAACATCCCCCGACGGCGCACGCCCCCAGCGCCCAGGGCGGAGCAGCAAAAGCCCACACGGGCCACGCTGCGGAAGCCCGTGACGGACAAGAAGCCGCTGGAGGAGGATTATGATGAGCCGGCCGAGCAGCCGGAGCCACCACGCAAGCGGAAGCGTCCTCTGGCCCCCAGATCTCGCGCCCCAGCGGCCGATGTGGACTTCGAGGACGAGGACTACGAGGAGAGCCCTGCCCCAGCGCCAGTAGCAACAGCAGCTCCGGCACGTGGCATCCTGAGGGGTCGCTCCAAGGCAACGACCACTAGAAAGCCCATAGCGCCACGTCCCCGCCAGCCCATCGTGGAAGAGGAGGACACGGCAGAGCCCAGCATCAGCGAGGAAGAGGCGCCCGCATCCCCGATTGCTCCCCGCTCGAGAGCGAATTCCCTGGGCGGAAGGACGGCGCCAGGAAAAAGCGCACAGCGCCCCTCATCGGTACGTGTGGTCAAGCGACCCTTCCTGCCCTCACGGGGCGGTAGCCCCTATCTGCCGCGTGGCCTTCAGCCAGTGGGCGTGGCCCTGAAGCCAGTGCCGCCAGTGACGACAGACAGCACGCCCATCGATATGGGTTCGACCATCTCGGGGGTGCGTCTGCTGGAGCACGGGGCCCCGTTGCTGCGAGGACGGCCCGACAGCAGCGAGGACGAGGTGGTGGAGGAGGAGGAGGAGGAGGAGCAGAACGATGAGGAGGCGCCTCCGTCTCCGAGTCCGCCGCGTACCACGCTGCCGCCTCGCAGCGCCCTGCCGGCCACGCCCAAACAGCAGCAGCAGCAGCCGCCGCCGAAACTGAATCTCGACGAGCTCTATGAGAACGACTACGATGTGACGCTGAACGATGCGCTCGATCCCACGCTCAAGCCGCTCTCGCCAGTGCCACAGCATCAGCTACAGCTTCAGCATTCGCATCCGCTTCCATATCAGCCGCAGGCACAGCCGCAGGGTCGTCCATACGCCAGTGCCTATACAGCTCCTACTGGTGGCAGCTCCGCCTCATCCGCCTACAATCCATTCGCCTATCAGCAACAGTATCAGCATCCGAATCATCCGCAGCAATCATCCGCAACATCAACATCCGCTTCAGCTTCAGCATCAGCATCCGCATCAGCCCAATCGCGATCCCAATCGCAGTCGCAGCCAGCGAGCTACCATAGTGATTCCTATTTCTCATCGACAGATATACGCAGGCGGGCGATTGTCCCGTCGCAAGCCGCGCGTCCACATCGACACGAATACGCTGCTCCCAGAGGACCAGCCGCTGGAGGAGCAGGAGCAGCAGCAGCAGCAGCAGCAGCAGCAGCAGCAGTCGGCGGTCCAGGAGTGAGTCAAAACCATCAAATGGGTGGACGGATTGCCCAGCATTTCTACGATGAATTTGCCTATTGAATGCGGTATACAAAGTGTGTTATAAGGTGAGTAGATACTTGGCGCCATTGTGCCCCTGTGCCATTCCCAGCTAAGATGATCTTTCCTTTTTGGCTTGCAGTTTCTTCAGCTGTAAATAAGTTTCCCCAACCCCCCACCCCAAACCACCAAAACCCCCCATGAGAGCAAGCGAGGAGGAGTGGAAGGATTCGTGTCCCCCATACTTTAGTCTACTCGTAATTCGTAATTCCCCCATAAGGTTAAGAGAAGAACTTAACTCCTTACGTATAATACCCTATGATACATTGTATAATACTCAATTGTCGTGATAGTAGCCGGGACAAAACACGTTTGCGCATTTGTCTGTCCTTAATCTCTTTGTCCCCAACATCGTCCACCATCAACACCACCACCAGTACCACCCGTAGCCCCTACTAGAGGCAACCAACATCCAGCAGGAAGGAAGTAGGAAGCGGAGCGCAGGCAGACCAGCAATACAAGCGGCCAATGTCCTTAATGTACATTTAGAGAGAAAAGCAATTTACTTAAATTCCTAATTTAAATTCTGTAATATTTGTAAGCTTTGTCCAGAGAAGACTTAAGTCCGTGTGCTTAACTAAACTAAATACATAATAATAAAATAAAACAACACAAATGGAACACTCACTCACTTAACGCTACCGCTGGCGGCCCACTAATCACTGGAGCGCAGGCAGACCTTCAGGTTCTCCGTTTCCTCCTCCAAATGATCTAGTTTCTTCATCAATATAATCTACAAAACAAATGCAGAAGTCAGCAATCAGCAATCAGTAAAAGATGAGGCGTGTACAAAGCACTATGCAACCTTTGCTGCTGAGACAATTTCCGTGGCCACTCTCAATGGCATATGCTCTACGGCTTGCACCAAATTCCTGGGTCGTATTTTGGCTAAATCCTCAATGGTCCTGAAGCCCGCTGCATACAGCTGCTTGGCGCGATTCTGAAGGATCAAGCGAAGATTTAACATAATGCATAGGGAGCTTGCAGATATTTTTGGGAGGATTTCGTACAATTTTAACGCCAGGCAACTCCATGAGTGACTCCAATTCTTGCGTGCCACAACGATCCATTTTGTGAAGAACGCGCTCGAACAATGGCTTGTAGCACCAGAACTCCCCCATTTCATCGCACAGTCGCACAATGGCACTGGAGGCGGAAATCGACTGGCTGATCAGGTGCTGCAGAGTGCCGCGCTCCACATTGTATTTGCCGGAGACTGTGGGCAGCGGCAAGAGGTCCAGAATATCGGACAGGATGAGCACTTTGTAGAGGCGATTCAGTTGCAGGGCCATGGGACCCTGCACCGACTGCGTCTTCAAGAGCCTGGCCGCATGGGCCTCGGTGAAGCCGAGCTGCTTGAACAGCGCCTGCGATTCGATGGACAGCGACGTGTAGACGTTGAACAGAATGCTGGCATCGGCGGGGAACAAATCGTCCCCCCGCTCATTCGAGTTGAAGCACACCACGAGATACAGCAGATGCGAGTAGCTGTTGAGAATGAGCTGCTGCTGGGCCAGCTTCAGTTCGCGGTGAATGGCGCTGGCGCGCTTGTAGTCAATGCCCGCCTTGAAGGCAGCCCGTCCAATGTTGGTCAGCTTGAAGCGCGTGGACTGGCCAATGAACAGGCGACGATCGTCAGCGGGACGAGTGCTCTGGTTCCCATCCTGGGTGGTAATTATAACCGAGCAGTTGATCTTTGGCTTGGCTGCCGTCGGCTCTGTCAGCTGCAGCACTTTGTTCTTGAACATTTCGCGGAGTATGCGGAGAACCAGCTCGTCCACAGCCACCTCCAGGATATTGGCCTGCACCGCAAGGAGCGTGCTGTTCACCAGGCGATTCAAATCGCGGCGGCATTCGGCAAGGTTGAGCCCAATCACGCTCAGAATGAGTGACTAGAAAGGAAGAGTTAAGATTAATCAGTGCATACATATGTATGTGCGGGAGGTTCTATGGCTCCAGTTGTTGTAAACATCCGTCAGCCCTTTAAGCAAAATCAGCACAGAAACCAAAACGGCGCCAGGGGGCCGAGATGTTTACATTATTCTGCCAGCCAAAGCTGCACAGCTACACCGCCAGCTACAATCCACAGCCTAGAATCCACAAGAGGCGATAGATCGAATATCCGTTCCAATGGAAGCAACCCGCTTGCCCTGGCCGAATATATAAGCAATCAAAAGTATTTTTCCCTTCAGTCAGTGACCAATTCTCAGCCATATATAACCGTGGAGTGACACAATGCAACAGATACAAAGGAAAGGCTCATCTCAGGTAAGCATCGTCAAAGAACAAAACACGTAAAAAACCCGCCTTGGTATTTCGTTGAATACTTGCCTGCAATCCCACGGCCTCCTGCTGATATAACGAACTCAGCGCCTTGTCCATGGGCGAGAAGAGCATTTGTCCTACCTGCAGATTGTCCCTGCTTTGGGCTATCAAAATACTCTCGCCGGCCTCGCCCAGGCCAGCGCGTCCGGCGCGTCCTACCATTTGCTTGTACTTGCACAGCGTCATGAACTCCTGGCCCACGTAGGGAGCGCGAATGATGACACGCTTGGCCGGCAGATTCACGCCCGCAGCCAGGGTGGAGGTGCAGCAGATGACGGTGACGACGCCAAAGCGATAGGCTGTCTCTATATACTTGCGCTCGTCGGTGGTGAGGCCAGAGTGGTGATAGGCAATGCCGAAGGGCAGGGTTTTGGCCAGCACAGGGCTAAGAATGCCGCATATCTTGTCCAGGGCATCCATGAGATCGGCCTTTTCGCTGCGGCGATGCTCCAAGAACTTCTGCTTGGACACAATGCGGCTCAGCAGCAGTGCCACATTCTCGCAGTTCTTGCGGCTGGGGCAGAACACCAAACAGCAATGCTCTGGCGCACATTCGCTGATCAATCCCGCCAAATGATCAGGATCCGAACGCTTCACAACATCGCTGTACTGTGCAGAGCGAAAGAGTATTGGAGATTTCAGATACCGAAATTGTACTCACATTAAAGTCGACTGTGCGACTGGGAACGAATATTTCCTCGAGGGTATGGCCAGCCGAGTTGATCTCCAACAAATCGCAGCCACATTTGATGTACTCTTTCAGCTCCACGGGCCGAAAGCCGCGGGTGTAGACATCGGCATTGAGAAAGGCAGAGATCTCGCTGAGGTTTCCTATCGTTGCACTCATGCCCACAATTTGAATATTTGCTGGGGGAACACGAAAATTCTTTAACTCGTATAAACCCATTTTTAAGCCCATCCACTTACCATTCAGAAACATGACTTTGGTGAGAAAGGCCTCGAGGGTGGCGCCGCGTCCCCGTTCGCCAATCAAATGAAGCTCATCGACCACCACAAGGCCAATCTCATGGGGACGTTGCACATCAATCAGGCTGTCCATCAGCACGGCTCCCTTTTCGATTGAGGCAATAAACAAGCTGCGCCTCTTGCGACGAGGCTCTGGCGGACATTTGCCCTTGCCGGCCGTATACTCATCGACAATGAAGTCCAGGTCAATGGCAAACGGCGACATGGCGCTGACCTTCTCCTGGACAATCGAGACGTATGGCAATATGAACAGCACATTGCGCTCCCGACACAGCAGTTCGCGCAGCATGAGAATCTCTGCCACCAGGGTTTTACCGCCGCTGGTGGGCAGGGCGTAGATTAGATTCTTTCGCTGGCGTATTGCCGGTAAATTCAGGCACTCGTCCTGCCATTCTGAAAGCAAACGAAACATGTGATTTTGGATATTATCAATTTACAGTGCCATACCATAGAGGCTCTTGATGCCCTTGTGTTCGAGTATCATCTTCTTGACCTTATCCGGCAGTCCGTAGAAGTCGCCCTTGCTGGGGAAGTTGTCTTGGGCCAGGCTCTTCTGCTCAAAGTCGGCAAAGGCTTGAGTCTCCCAATTGATTGGGTCGAGTATTGATTGGTTCTTCAGCTCCTCACAGGTCGCGTATTGCGTGCCATGAACCAGTCCCTCAATGGCGCACATGGACTCGTCCTTGACCGCAGCCAACGATTTCTCAGCTTTCTCTGGGCTCTTGGGATTGGGCACTTTGAATGCGACTGCGTCGAGGAAAAGTTGCGTATTCTGCACAATTGGCTCACTAAAGTCTTCGGCTCCGTGGAATATATCCTCCATTTCAGCAATGCTCAGATCATGAAGATTGATCTGCTTGAACAGAGTGCCGGCATCCGCCTCAACCGCCAGATCGATCTGATTTTCTTTAGTCGACGCATTGTCCGTGCCGTGTCCCTGCTCCTGCTCGGCTCTCTGGGTGCTGGGAGAAGAGATGTCAGCAAAAAGGCCATCGTCCGATCCACTGCGCTGCAACGGTTTGTCGCTCGTCTGCGCCTGGGTTCCGAATAGCTCATTGCGGCCGCTGACCAAATCTTCAAGCTTTGCATTGGAGAAGAAACTCTCCTCGTCGCTGTCTGGCCAAAAGAGGCTTTCGCTGCAAAAGCGTTTGCTACCGCCCGCATCCCGGTCTTCAGTTAAATCCAGTCGTCTTTTTGCAATTTGATGGGCATTTGTTTCTTTTTGCTGATCAGACATTTTTCGCGCTCAATGGCGTGACCGCCGCATCAATGTGACAAAATACCAATTTTCCTTTCCATAAAATTTTTTTTATTTTGGTATTTTCTTGTTTAAGTTGGTATTTTTCTGGTATAGTCCCAGTCGGAGCGGGAAAATTTCATGAATTTAAAAAAAACAAAAAAAATTAATTAATAAATCAATAAAAACCATTGTTTGGGTGATTATTTAATATATTTAATAAAGATAATAAAACTAAATAAGATGTCGGATATTCTGGATCGCTTACCGCTGTCCACAGTCTGTCTCCAGCGAATATAATGTCAAGCGTGGAACTCTGAAGCCAACCGATTGCCATTTCTCGAAGCTCATCAACGGACACCTACAGGTCATTGGCCTGCTTTCCATTTCTATAATTTTCCCAATTTCATTCACTTTTCGTTTGATTTTCACAACTTTTGGCGATTCAGCATTTTTATTTTTGCGGTCGATGGTGTGGCTGTAGCAACAATGTGTCATAATACCTCGATAGATGATGGCTGAATACAGCTATCTCGCAGCACAAGTGCTGCCGATTCCGCTTTTTTCCCGTCAAATCTGACACTTTGTGTCTGCTGGCAAGCGGAGATTTCTTGATATTCATCTGTACTCCAATTTAAGGAAATCAGTTAATGGAGCTAATACTGTAAAAACACTAAATTAGTGAACCCATAAATTAAGCTTTTTTAATGTTGTTTTCTGGAATTTGTCAGCTTTTTTTGTCTACTGTCCAAGTTAGAAACGGCTTTTTTTCCTGATGAAAAGTTGCCAGCACTGCGCAGCACCAAGAGTATCCATTCGTTATGAAAATATGTTGGAGGTAAGTCGCAGTTTATTGGATTAAACTTATTTTTGTACCGGAAATTACTCACCAAATAATCCATTCCATCGCACTATTAACTTATTCGTGTTGTTGCGCGTTTGTGCCCGAGACGCGAATTGCATTGGTTTATAAAAACACTCATCTCCACTGTCTAGCCAAAAAGGCTGTCGAAGCATAAGTGCTGAGTCCTACAATCCAGATTCTAGAATTTAATTTCATCATTTTTTCCGCCGATTCAAATGAAATTTAATTCTTTGCGCTGCATGGTGTGATCAAAGCAACACCAGACCAGGGCTACTGAGGACTACACTACTGCAAGGCTCGCGATACCAAGTAAAATTACCTGCTGTATTTTTGGAGGGAAAACGCTAATATATTTTAAAAAAGATTGAAATAATTTAGTCGCCCCTTAAATAAATCTGCCGCTTGAGCTCCGGGGCAAATACTGATAAGAACCGTGCCTGGGATTCCAAGCGACCTAAAACAGAGAGCGTGCGTCGTTTGGCGAGTATCGAAATTCGATATCTCTGCAAACGGCGTTTGTCTCCTCATTCAGAAGTGCGCCTTAAAGAAACAAATTTAATGGAAATTCGCTTGTAATATTACAGGGAATTGCTAAAATGTCCTGCTGGTACTTGGAGCACCTAAGTACGCAGGAGCGGGTGGTCCTCCCGAATGGGAAGATCACGATTGGCCGCCACTCGGCCTGCAGGATTGTTTTGAAATATGCATTCATGTCGAGGGAGCATGTGGAGATGTCTGTTAACCCTAATGCAGTCTTAGTGAGGTGTTTGGTAAGTTTGGGTTGAATAGTAAAGCATAATATATATAGTATAAACCATTTTTTCCCCCCGTAGAATGCCCCTAATGGTGTATTTGTGAATAATGCGGAAATTAAGAAGGAACTTGATTGTGTGCCTGTACGCGAAGGAGATGTAATCAGCCTGGGTTGTCCACTGCCGGAGGAGAAGTGCTCTAAGACATGGGCCGTCTTCAGCTTGAAAAAAATTCCTGTCCAAACAGAAGAAATTGTGCTATCCAGCGATTCGGACGACGACTCACTTCTTCTGGCGCCTCTAAAGGCTGCTGTTCAATGCAAGGTAGAACCTGATCTGAACATTAGCGAGCAGATTCCAAATACCGCAAACGATAATGCTTCCCGCAAAGAGAACGATGAGGAGAGTCCAGCTACATCCACAGCCAGTTCACATCCGATCCTCCACCTGCCAAAGGTGCCACAAGTTAAGCCAGAGTGGGTGCAGACGGCCAAAGATATAACAAACATATTTGGGGAGGCGGATGAGGCCATTATAGGCAGTGTTCTGGACATAAATCCATACCTTTATAATCATTTATCGAAAGATAAGGAAGCGGTGCCAATCTCAAAGCTGCACGATGGTCAAGTTATTGAGCTGGACGAGAACGAGGATAACATCAGGCCGGAGGACCCGCCGTGTCCGCAAACGGACAACGCGGCCGGCAGCATGCTGCCACCCTGTCCGCCACCGCCGTTGTTGGGGGAAACCGTTGAGGACTACGATGAAACTATGGCTATGTCGCAGGCGGTCCTTCAAGAGATGAAGGACGAGATGGCATTCAGCGATGGCGAGGAGAACTTTTTTGAGTCAAACAATGAGGGCAGCTACCGCGGCTCATCCTTGTCTCCATCGAATGATGACGATGACATTATTGTGATCACGGACAGCGACGATGACGACCTCTGCAGCAAGGTGACCGACTGGTCGAACAAGCTGCTCAGCCAGAAAGCACCCGACGCCTTGTCACAGGCCTATCCCATGGCCGATTCTGATGCGGAGGTAGATTTTCAATCTCAAATGATATTCCGTAGCCGGCCGGAGGCGCTTCGCATACTGGATTCCAGCGATGAGGAATCGGATCAGCCTGCCCCACGCCTCTTCCCTAAATACTCCAAGCCACTGCGCATTGATTCCAGCTCGGATGAGAGTGACTCTTGCACCCACAACATCCGTAAGGGTAAATATACGCTATCCTCCTTCCTGGATACTTCTTCTAATCACTTTTTCTCGTTCACAGCGGACAAGGCATCGTCAAAGCCATCTCCCAGTCGCTCAAAGTCTGTTGGCAGCGAGTTGAGCTCCACCGTAGATGACGGTCAATTGTTCACGCGGCGTCAGCGAAAGGATCCGCAGGACATCTTTGAAGGACCGCAGTTCTCTCCAGAAGATAGCGAAGATGACGATTGGGATTTCGATAGCGTGATCTTTGAAGCCTTGAAGGACGAGTCCTCCCATAATGAAGAAAACGATAACTCAGTGGAGAAAACCAACGATAAATCAGTTCGTGACGTATCCAAGAAGTCAAAAAATGTCGAGGGCCCAGAGCAAATAGATTTAGATATTTCCACGGAGATTGAGCTGCTAGCTAACCCAATCGAATCGCCTTCAATGGGGGCAGCAAAGCAAACGGAGGAAGCTGACGCTTCTGCGGATAAGCTAAATGAAACTCCTTCACCAAAGAAAGCCAATGTGGAGCCTGTGGTGGCCAGCAAAGATACCAAGCAGTCCAGAATCTCCCGTCGACGATCAACCATAGCAGTCTCCTGCGAAGACTTGGCTGTCACTTCTGTGGAGAAGCCTAATGAAACTCCTTCCGTAGAGAAAACCAAAGATAAAGTGCAGCCTACCGTTTCCAAGAATCACTCGAAGGCGAAGGTTTCTTCTATAGAGAAAGATTCTCCCGCAAAACCAAAGGAAGCTCCTTCGATGGAGAAAGCCAAAGCAGAGCAGCCTGCAGTTTCCAACAGGAAATCCAGAATCGCCCATCGACGATCAACCGTATCAGTATCCCGCGAAGAATTGGCTGCCACTTCCGGGGAGAAACCAAAGAAAGTGCCTTTGGTGGACAAAGCCAAAGATAAAGTGGAGCCTTCAGCTTCCAACAAAAATCACTCGAAGGCTAAGGAGTCTTCTGTGAAGAAAGATGTGCCATCTAAACCAAAGGAAGTGGAGAAAACTAAAGCAGCCAGTAAGGATACCAACAAATGCAGAATCTCCCTTCGCCGATCAACCATTGCAGTCTCCCACGAAGAGTTTGCTGACGCTTGTGGCGAAAAGCCAAAAGAACCTTCTTCCGTAGAGAAGGCCAAAGATAAAGCGCAGCCTGCAGTTTCCAAAAAAGATCAAGCGAAAGCGAAGGGTTCTTCTACGGAGAAAGACTCTCCTTCTAAACGAAAGGACCCTCCTAAAGTGGAGCCTGAAGTGGCAAGCAAGAAGTCGCGAATCACCAAACGACGATCCACCGTAGCCGTCTCTCGCGAAGAGTTTGCTGACGCTTGTGCGAAGGAGCCAAAAGAAACTCCTTTAGCAGATAAAGGCAAAGTGGAACCAGCAGTTTCCAACAAAGATCAACCAAAAGCTAAGAGTTCTTCTATAGAGAAAGAGTCTCCTTCTAAACGAAAGGATGCTCCTGAAGTGGCAAACAAGAAGTCCCGAATCTCCCAACGACGATCCACCGTAGCCGTCTCTCGCGAACAGTTTGCTGACGCTTGTGCGAAGGAACAAAAAGAAACTCCTTTAGCAGATAAATGCAAAGTGGAGCAAGCACCCAAAGAGAATGAGCCACCAGCCAAGCCAAAGAAAGAATCTCCTTCGAAAAGAGAGCCCAGCGCACGACTTCGCAGCCGAGCCACTTCGTGCTACTACGAGAGACCCAAAGCCGAACCAGACCTGCCGACAAGCATTGTCAACGCCATGGACATGAAGCAGATGAGGGGACCAGAAGTGATTGAGGCTCCTTCGTTGCCCAAGTATCGGGGCAAGCTGCGTGGCGTTTCGGCTGAACCCAAAGCTAAGGTTTTGGACCGCCAGCGATTCCTTGACTATCAGGCCGAAATGAATGCCAGATGGAAGGAAAAGCCCAAAGCGAAGAAAACTGTTGATGCCGAAGCAAAGGACAAGCGTCGCGAGGCACTCAAAAAACTGTCGGAGAAGAAGCCGGCCGAGGACGAGCAGCCGGCCAGCAGCAAGAGAAAGGCCACCACCAGTGTGCCAAAAGTGGGCAATTCTAATCGTGGTGCCTTCCTTACTGAGGGCATCAATGGACTGCCGCCCTCAAAGATGCCCAAAATGGACCCCCTCAAGCCACTCAAGAACCGACGTGCCACAATTGACTTTGAAACCTTCTCGCAGCAGATTCAGGCGCCTGATTTAATGCCAAGGCGAGCGCCGGGACGTCCGCCAGAGCGCAAAGAGGCCGAGTGTGCCAGAAATCAGCGCACATGCAATCGCGTCACCTTCGCCAGCATGGAGAAGGATATGGAGGAGAAGTTGAGGTTCCAGAAGATGTCGAAACGCGTGCGATTCAACGACAAAGTTCAGATCAAATACATTGAGAGTAGGCATGCGGCTGACGGCCATCGCCGCATGCACCCAGTGCAGGGAAAAAAAGATACGGAGCTGCTGTTCTTCAGCACGTATGCCGAAAGACGTGAACGCTGGTCGAGCATTCAGATGAACGATAAAACGTCCTACTTCGAGACCATACTCAAGTGGGCAAATCAATGGCTGAAGCTGCGCAGTGTGGATGCTGTGGCCGATTTAGATGTCCTGAAGCCCATTGCACCCGAATTCGAGAACTTCAAGCATTACAAGGAGTGAGTTGGCGTCCCCTTTAACACCATTTAAAGTGTGTAAAGTCTCTACTCACACTCTTGTCTCTTGCAGAATCTTTGTGCCGTTGATGAAAATGGAGCTGTTGAGCACAATCGAAAGGGACTACAAATTGGGTAGGGAGTCATATGAGGTCTGCCTGCAACATCCTGTTGACGAAAATAAATCCTTTTACTGCCTGTCTACGCGAGGTAAGTGCCTGCATCTGAATTCTTTGCATGGTCTAATTTCGAATCATCTGTCGCCTTTAGTCTTCAGTAAGCCGCCAGTAAAGTATATGCTCTACACTCTATCGAGCGGCGACAAGCTCAAGGAGACGTTTGCCAATCTGCGGGAGCAAAGAACCAAAAATGGTACGCCAGCTCAAATCAAATGGGATCCCCATCGCTTACTAACTTTCCTTACCCTGTGCAGGCCATGAGCTGATTTTTGAAATCCTTAAGGATGGCATTTCTCTGGAAACATTTAAGGGGATCAAACTCTTGACCGCCCGCCCGGTGGTGGACAGCTTGAGGGTGGATCTGGGCGCACTGCGAGCTGTCGATCAGCTGTCACGCTCGCCACTCTATCGAAGGATTATCAAGCCCACCGAAATGCTGAGGAATGCCCGCATACCCAACTATGGAACACCGTTTGTTTTCAAGGGTTTCGCGAAGCTCAACCCGCACCAAGAGGTCATCTGCTCCAGCACGTATCAACGTGTCATAGACAACGTGCCAAGCATTACGCTGATTCAGGGTCCACCAGGCACCGGTAAATCCATGATCATTGCGAATATCAGCTTCCAGTGTCTGTATGGAAAGGCGGCCTTAAAAATGGACCGCAAGATCCTTATCTGTGCCCACTCCAACACGGCCGTCGATTCAATTATGGGCCGTCTTCATCAAGTGCGAGAGAATTTCTGTGAGACGGATCGCTTTCAGATGCTGCGCTATGGGCTGTACGACAAGATGAGTCCTCTGTCGCGGCGCTACTCGCTGGAGCATAATTACGAGCGCGCCAAGAACCAGAAACGAAAACGCGTGAGTGACGACAATAGAGTGATTCTCAAACAGCGGCACAACGAATTGGAAGCGGAGGTTAACGAAATGAAGAAGAAAAATCTCAATGGCACCTGGCTGTTCGACAAGTACCAGGAGAAGGTGAAGCAGCTGCAGATCTACGAGGAGCAGCTCAATCCTCGATTGACACAGCGCGAGGAGTTCAATATTGCCGAATCGCATATAAAAGGAGCCAACATAGTGTGCACCACACTCTCCTCGTGCGTGAAGCTGTCCAGCTATATTAACTACTTTGATATCTGTTTAATTGACGAGGCCACACAGTGCACCGAGCCGTGGACCCTGCTGCCGATGCGTTTCGGCATTCCGCATCTGGTATTGGTGGGCGATACGCAGCAGTTGCCTGCCATCGTGCTCTCCCAGAAGGCTGTCGATTTCGGCTTGGCCAAGTCAATGTTCGATCGCATTCAGCGGAGCCTGGAGAAGCAGCAGGCGGACCAGCCGCATGCCCATCTGTCCGTTCACACCAAATTGTTCAAGCTGACCACGCAGTACCGCATGCATCCGGAGATCTGCAAGTGGCCAAATCGCTACTTCTACGAGGATCAGCTGGTCAATCAAGAGGGCCTCGAGAGGTTACTCGCAACACCCATACTTCCCTACGCTGTCATAAACCTTGGCTTCACCAGGGACTCCTGTGATCCGAAAACTCGGAGCATTAGCAACGAGGAGGAGGCTCGCTTTGTGACCAAGCTGCTGACGGAGATGGACAAGCATTTGCCGAGCAAACGCTACGGCTATGGGCTGATCTCGCCGTACAGCAGCCAATGCTATGCGCTGAGCCAAATGCTGCCCACCCACATGAGGCTTTTACCACCGCTCACTGTGGATGCCTATCAGGGCATGGAGAGCGACGTGGTCGTCATTTCGAATGCCAGAACACGCGGTAGCGGATTCCTGGCCAACTACCAGAGACTCAATGTGGCCGTTACCAGGCCCAGGCGCTGCCTAATCATCTGCGGCAATTTCAATGATCTTCAGGTGAGTTTCTTGCCAAACATGACAATTCTGTAATAACGAAATCTAACGGAGAACTTATCATCTTCCAGAACGTAGGCATGTGGGGCGACCTGCTGGACGATGCCCGCAAGAGGGGGATTTACTTTGACTTGAAGCGTGAGGATGTTGCCAATCTGAGCGAGTCCTTGATAAGCAAACTGCTGGTGAAGCCCCAAGTGAACGGGGCATAGGATGTAGGAACAATGCGTTACAGTGCCTGGAGGCAAAGCCCATGAAACGGGTCTTCCCCAAATATATCGAATTTAATAAACACTCAAGATTTAGTTGGATTTACATACAATCATATTCTCATTTTTTTGTTCTTTTGTAACATTAATAGAGGACTGAAAATTTCGATTTCTTTGTACACATAATTTGCTTAAAAACATTTTCCGACCTGCCTTATCCGCATTACCTTCGTATATAACAGGATTTATATATGAAACTTTCTCTATATAGTATATATATTATATATGGTTTTTTTGTGTGAAAAAGTGAATGAATTAAAGGAAAATAAGAAATGTTAAATAAAAATGACTGGAATTCAGTTACCAAAATTGTTGTACGCCCTAGGGTTCTCGTACGACAGAGTAGAGTATATTGCACTATATAAATGATAGGCATAAGAGAATTGCACATTATTACACATTACATTAAGAATTCTTCGGTTACAGGTGGATGTATTATGTAAGGGCTCAAAAATGCTATGTATGTGGTGCCTCTCCAGCCTCTCGCCTCCATATCCTTGTAAATCTCTAAGTCATAGATAGTAGTAGTAGTAATAGTAAGTAAATTCACTAACAACACATGCACACGACACGCACAATCGATTGTTAAATTCATAGTTCTGCTATCCTTCGTCTTGCATTCGATCTGCTGTTCTGCATAAGCTTTAAAATTAATGGAATCGCTTAATAGAAGGGGAGCAGTAGCAGCAGCACCACAGAACTTAATTCCAAATCAGAATATAACTTAGGTAGGGTGGGTTGTTGGGGTATGGGAAAAATCATTTAAAATGTAGCAACAAAATCTAACGTAAGCACTAAAAACATAACAATAATTATGCTCTTAATTAAAACTAGTTTATGTGGCGGCTTAAAGTGCTGCCATATGCTTACAGATATATACCAGTAGCGTATATATATGTATATAAATATTTCATTTACACATAGAGAATGTACGACTAAAGCAAACACTTTTTTGTTGTCTGTTGAATCTAATGGGTAATGGGTAACCGCAATGCCCGGTTTTTGTTTTAGTTTTTGTGTGTTTGTTTAGGTTAGGTTTAGTTCGCCCAGGGAATCCTTGAGCGATTGAAAGATTTGGTATTGCTGATCTGGCTTTAGATTGTAGATCTGTGTCAGGAGCTTCGCCGGCGATGGGGTTCTGATAAAGCTCGATATATAAACGTTGACAAAGGTGGCCATCAGGAACTGGCAGTCGAAGCGGTCCATGATGCCGCCATGTCCGGGAATCATGTCACCAAAGTCCTGCAACAAATAATTTACCCTCAGTTCATGTCTTGCAACGCTCAAACTTTCGTGTTCTACACTCACCTTGATCTTGAAAGCTCTCTTAAAACCGGAAGCAAAGAAACCGCCGAATGGTCCAATGATGGAGCTGAACAAGCTGAGAGAAATCGAGTGCCAGATATAGGGATACACGTTCAAGGACTTGCCAATGCCAAACTGGAAACCAAAGAGAAGTACATTAATCCTAGAGCATTAATCAGGATGAGGTTTTTAAATACGTACCACCTTCAGGCTGTATTCCTGCGGCGTGAACAGATAGCTGGGCACACAGCTCATTGTCATGCGACCCAGCTCCTCAGAGTATTGTATGGGACATATGAAGTACTGGTAGTTGCACAGAAAATAGGAGAATAGAATGCCAAAGAGAACGGTGGCAAAACCACCACCAATGAAGCCCTCCCAGGTCTTCTTGGGGCTCAGCTTGATGAGGGGTGTGCGGCCAAAGAAGAAACCAAACACATACGCCATGACATCATTGCAGACAATCATCGATACGGGCACAATGAACCAAATGAGCCCCTCGAATATGTTTTGGATTATGAGGTAGCTCTGGGTGACGACAATCAGCAGCGAGACGTGTGTCCAGGCAAACAGGCTAAACTGTTTGATGTAATATTTCTTCACCAGCGACAGCACAAACCAAACAAAGCCAATGATGTACAGGGCGAACGAGAGGAATCGATGGTAGGTTACCAGAAACTTGAGATATTCCTGAAAAGAATTCAGAATTTCCCCCATTTGGATTAGCAATTTCTGTATTGCTGGCTATATATAGCAGGCCACCTCTTACCACACGATTGATGACCACGCCGAAGTAGTCAACCAGATTCTCGCCATAGAAGAAGTAATTGGATGTGAGCAGAAAGTACCAGGAGAGACTGCGGAACCACGGAAGTCCATGTATGCGATAGACTTGGTAGCCAATCGAGATGATCTCCTGAAAGCACTTCACCTGCACCAGCAATGTCTGATCAAAGAGAAACCAAATAATTTATTAGATTCTCTCTTTCTAGGCAAAGGCCCTTGAACCCACCGTGATCATTAAGGCCAGCGGACCGCCGTAGATGATCAATGCAAAGCCACAAATCATAATCCATGTGAATATGCCGCGGATGACCCAGTTCTTCCAGCTGCCAAATGGATAAAATTAATTATTATTTGCAATTATTAAATATTTGCCACCGCCTGCAACCAGCTGTGGGGCAAATGTATTTTTGGAAATCATTTCACATACCGATCGGGTAAATCCTTGAGTGCCGAATCCAATAGCTCTGGTGTCTTGTCCGTGCCCTGGGGCAGATTCTTGGCCAGCTCCTCGACGAACTTCTCCTCGGGAATTTTCTCCTCCTCAGAGTCCACCTGCGGAGCGGGAAAACAATTAGAAATGCAATTTGTCTGGCTAAATAGCCTCTCGGGGCAGGGGGTGAAGCTTATACATTTTTAACGAGGGGCCGCCGTTCAAAGTCCAAAATATATACTATGGCTATATACCCATAATCAGAATATCAGCCAACGATATGCCGCCATTTATCCAAGACACAAACACACACACACTTATCTGGGAGAGAGAAACAAATTGTCGGATTTTCGGTGGCGTGTTTTGTTTGTTGCCAAATCATTGATAAGAAGCCATGAGGGGTGAGGGGAAAGAAGGTGCTCTTATCAGAGAGAGGAATAAAGCCGGAACCATTGCAGAAATTAGTCGGGTGACCTCTCCCCTCCCTTAAGGGGGTGTGCGCTTCCGTAATGGCTGGAATCCACTATAATTGGATTTGCACAATATAATGGCGTTACACTGCTGCAACCCGCGGGATGGGGACAGGGGGTCTAGGTTATTGGATTTTCGCCTGCTGGCCTGCGCTCTCAATCACTCTCTCTCTCTCTCTCTCTCTATCGCCTGCGCCCAAGGTGTAGTAATATCAAGTGAGACACTGCCAGAGGGCGCTCTCTGAAGGGATAGTACCGTATTTTCTTCGCTTGGGGGGGGAAAGCAATAGATAGCTTAAGAGAGCGGGAATGCATCACCTCATATTAATTCCACCCCAATTGCGCCCACCTGCTTTTGCGTCAGAGAATAACAAACCACACACACAACGCACCCAACATATGGGTGTACATACTTGCTCAATGGTATGGGTATACACACATTGGTTTCTTATGTTTTTTTTCTTTGCGCTCCAATGAATTATGCAAATGGAATGGGGTTCGAGGCAAGGAATTGGTCTGCTCCACATAGGAGTCATTGCCTGGGAGAGCAGCCAGCTAATTGGACACGACACTTACATGGTCTGAAGAATCAGCTGCAGACGAGTGGCGCTTCGCAGCCTCAGATTGAGCAGCAGCCTCATCGAGGACCACCTCCTTTCTGCGTCGCACTTCGGCCATTATTCTATATTAACCGTATGCCGCAATTGATTTTGATATCGACTTCTCACAAGCAATGCAATTGCACTTGCGGTGTCGGCTGTAGGTCCGCGTCTTTTCGTAGCCACAAAAACTATGTCCGAAAAATAAATATTTGACTTGATTTGTTTTGCCTGTGTTGTCAATGTTCTTGGCAATCCGACGATCAAATGAGACTTAACCCACTTAACACCCCTCTATTTAAAAAGATGAGCACCCTTTATTAAACCACGGAAAATAATACTGTTTGTAAAAGCTCCTTGTAGCTACATCCTCTCATTTACTTACAAAACAAAAATGACCACCGACATGTTTCACCTGTAATGCGTAAAATATGTTAAAGCTACATAAATTTCGTGGAAATATGTATTAGAAACCCCCTGGTCGACAATGGGTTAACATTCTATTGTATTGATTGAAATCGTATTCTATAATTTTGATGTTCGGTTTAATATTACTAGCTAGTTGGCCCATTCAGCCCTAAACAAATAATTTTATCCAGTAGATACATCAATTTTCTACAAGGCTAGCTAGTTTTCAGAAGTCCCAATTCCGCTGAGTACCAAAAAATATCCATTGATAATTTTTTAAATCATATCATTAATAATAACGATGAAGAAGATTCATTGTTGCGACGTTCCATACGTCCCGTAAGATATATGTGGCTCACTCCACGAAAAAGAGTCACCACGAAAGCGGTCTCTTCACCTAGGAAAAGAGAGCAAATTTTGAAAAACCACCACGATTTGAGAGCGAAAAATGTCATTATTTTTTGTGAGCTAAATGGAGTTGGGCGGTCATTTGGAAAAGTATCTTAATATATTGAAAAATAAATATTTGACTTGATTTGTTTTGTCGGTGCTGTCCAGTGTGACTGAAACATCAGAAATGAACCGAAATATACCTTCTCATTTTCAAAATATATCGTAAATATACCGAGAAAAAAACGAACTTAGCCCACTTAAGCCCCTTCTATTTAAACAGTTGAATCACTAACCATACAGTAGTATATAGATGTGCCAGTTCATACAACGAAAGTGGTGCAGCTGAGTTTTCAGCGTACGTATATTTCAGTCAGGTTTTGTCAGCGAGCGATTCGAATTATTCGTTTCATATCAGTCAGCTTTCGTCAGCGAGCAATTATAATTTTTCGTTTCATATCAGTCAGCTTTTGTCAGCGAGCAATTCGAATTTTTGTTTCATATCAGTCAGCTTTTGTCAGCGAGCAATTATAATTATTCGTTTCATATCAGTCAGCTTTTGTCAGCGAGCAATTAGAATATTTCGTTTCATATCAGTCAGCTTTTGTCAGCGAGCAGTTAGAATATTCGTTTCATATCAGTCAGCTTTTGTCAGCGAGCAGTTCGAATTTTCGTTTCATATCAGTCAGCTTTTGTCAGCGAGCAATTATAATTATTCGTTTCATATCAGTCAGCTTTTGTCAGCGAGCAAATAAAATTTTTCATATCAGTCAGCTTTTGTCAGCTAGCAATTAGAATATTTCGTTTCATATCAGTCAGCTTTTGTCAGCGAGCAGTTCGAATATTCGTTTCATATCAGTCAGCTTTTGTCAGCGAGCAGTTCGAATTTTCGTTTCATATCAGTCAGCTTTTGTCAGCGAGCAATTATAATTTTTCGTTTCATATCAGTCAGCTATTGTCATTGAGCAATAATAACAAATTTTGGTTTTTTTTTAATTTTTATTACATTTTTTCTACAATTTTACATTTTTTTTCTAAATTTTACATTTTATTTTAATTTGTCTTAAATTTTTACATTTTTCCTAAATTTAAAAAAATAATTTTACCCACCTAAAGTATCCGACACTAACCATACAGTATATAAGTTTATTGACAGAGTTGCAGTCTGTCTATAATAGGGATATGTATATATAAATGTGCAATTTAAAATAAATCAAACAATTAATAATATATTTTATTTTATATATTGTAATTATTTCTATGGTCGACAATGGGCTAATCGGTCTCTGTCAATAATCGAAAACCTGCCTTCAGAAACTTTCCAACACTCTTGCCGGCAAGCGTCATTTGCAATTTTCAGAAATCGCCAATTTTCACATTGAAATAAGATATTGTTCAAACTAAGAAGCTTAATTGCATAGAAAATGGCTGCAGCTATCGATGGTGTTCTCCCAGGCACATTGCAGGAGCTGGTGAAAAAGTCCAAGGTGCTGGTTGTGGGCGCCGGCGGTATCGGCTGCGAGGTTCTCAAGAATCTTGTGCTCAGCGGCTTCCACGACATTGAAATTGTGAGTTTTGTGGATTGCAGGCTTCGTCGCATTGCTAAAGGTCTCTCATCGCATTTAGATCGATTTGGACACCATTGACCTGAGCAATCTCAATCGTCAATTTCTCTTTCATCGCGAACACGTTGGCAAATCAAAGGCCAATGTGGCACGGGAAAGTGCATTGAGCTTCAATCCGGATGCAAAGATTACAGCGTACCATGATAGCATCATATCGTAAGTGTCCATGAATCGCATAGTTTGTCCGTATTCTAGTTCTAGCTACTGTTGTTTTTTCCAGCTCGCAATTCGGCGCCAGCTTCTTCCAGAAGTTCGATGTAGTCCTCAGCGCTCTGGACAATCGTCTTGCCCGCTTTCATGTGAATCGCATATGTCTTAATGCCGATATTCCTTTGATCGAGAGCGGCACCTCGGGCTACAATGGTCAGGTGGAGCTGATCAAGCAGGGCATCACTCAATGCTACGAGTGCACGCCCAAGGAGAAGCAGCGCAATTTTCCCGGCTGCACCATCCGCAACACTCCCTCGGAGCCCATCCACTGCATTGTATGGGCCAAGCATCTCTTCAAGTGAGTTCAATACAAGAGTGAATGAATTCCAAGACTAACACCCTTCGATTATAGTCAACTTTTTGGAGAGTCGATTGACGATGAAGACATTTCGCCAGACGCTGCAGATCCGGATGCCCAGAGTGACCCAAAAGAGGCAGACGCAGATGCAGGCGGAGACGGTGAGGCGAAGATCAGCGAAGAGAAGAAGCCAACGAAGGAGGACTCGACCAATGGCAATATTGTGCGCATCAACACCCGCCAGTGGGCCAAAGACTGTGACTACGATGCTGGGAAGCTCTTTAACAAGTTTTTTAACGAAGACATCAACTACTTGCTGGAAATGTCCAACCTCTGGACCTCGCGAAAAGCTCCAGTGCCCGTCTCCTGGGATACTCTTGTGCCCGAGGGCACCACTGATATCCAGCCAGAGTTCGCACGGCAGCATCACAAGGTGTGGACCGTGGAGGAGTGCGCCCATGTCTTTGCCAATACGCTGAAAGAGCTGAGTGCATCCTTCCTCAAGCTTGAGGCAAATGGCGAAACTCTTGCCTGGGACAAGGATGATCAGCCGGCCATGGACTTTGTGGCCGCCTGCGCCAATGTGCGTTCCTACATCTTCGACATTGAGCGCAAGTCCAGATTTGAGATAAAGTCGATGGCGGGGAATATTATACCCGCTATTGCCACCACCAATGCGATCACTGCTGGCATCTCTGTGATGCGAGCCTTTAATGTCCTGCAGGCCAAATGGGAACAGTGCCAGGCCGTCTATGCTCGCCTTCGGCCCAATGGACGGGGCCAGTTCCTCGTCCCAGACGCCTCGTTAGCAGCCCCTAATCCAAACTGCACTATCTGTTCCCTAGATCCGACCATCACCCTCCGCATCGACACCAAGCGTGTTCACATTAAGGAGCTACGCGACGATGTGCTGATTAAAACACTCAACATGCTCCATCCCGACGTGGAAATGTTGGGCGCAGGCACTATTCTGATCTCTTCGGAGGAGGGTGAAACGACAGAGAACGACCCCAAGTTGCTGTGCGATGTGAAAATTGTGGACGGCGCAATCCTAAGATGTGATGATTTTCATCAAAACTACAAGCTGACCGTAATCATATCGCATTTCGATGCAAAACGAGAGGATGCTCTCTTCGAGGTGGTGGCCAACGGCACTCAGCTGCAGGCCAAAGAGGAGCAGCCAAAGAAGGCGGAAGATGAAACCGTCAAAGCAAAGGAGGACCGAAAACGTTCGGCGAATGGTGCAGATGATGGCCCCTCCACCTCAAAACGTAGTCGTCCAACCGAAATTGAAGACGACGATGACGATGACTGTCTGGTAATCGAAGAGGAAAACGATGAGGATGTCATGGTCGTGGCCACAGATAACCTTTCCGTCGAGAGTGCACCCAAGACGGCCACCAAGCGCAAGCCCAGCGATGCAATGGAAGAAGAGGAGGAGGATATCACAGAGATTTTGGACTCGTCCGACGAGGAGGCAGCCGGTCCAACCAAATGCAAACGTTCCAAGATTGAGCAGTCCGACCTGAACACTGATCCGCCAATGGAAGTCATCAACATTGATTAAACGATGTACAATCTTTCCGTTTAAACATTCTCTAACAAGTTCCATGGATAATTTCACTGTATGAAAGGCATTTGATGAATATCACTTTACTGCGAATAATTTAAAGAGTAGTTTTTATGTGTATTATTTTAACGAGAACAATCCAGTTTTAAAAAGAAAACTGTTAAATTGAATTTAAGCTGATAAAATGTCATCGATAGCGACCAGTGCTGGCTAACAATCAAAGATTGTTGTTGTTATCGGTATTGGGTTAATCTGGCCAAGAGGTGAGTGTTTTGCCCACGATTTTAAAGGAATTTCAATGAAAAGACCAATTTTAGATGTCCTTTGCAAGCAAAATACTTCAACAAAGTTCCCGCCTGTGGAATGGCCTCAGTGCCACACGTAGTTTTCACGTCCTAGTGCGCCCCACCGCAACCACAATCGGAGTGACGAACAACGGCAACCAAACACAACTGGTGGCAAACACAAGTGTTTCCACAGGACTGCTGACACCTGTCTCTACGCTGCTGCAGCAGGTCGCCGGCTTCAAAGTCAAGGGACGCCTAAAGAAGCGCTGCAAGGACTGCTACATTGTCGTGCGCCAGGAACGCGGTTATGTCATCTGTCCCACGCATCCGCGCCACAAGCAAATGTCGATGAAGAAACGCGACTACAAGTCGTGGATACTGACACATGCCACCCAGTCCAAGGAACGGGGCTTCTAGTCCTGCTGTAACCCTTACAACTAGCGTTTCCTTCAAATTTAAATAAAAACATAAAATTGCAACCAATGAGGAAAATTAATCGTTGTCCAACACTATCGGTGGGTCAGCTGGAATTCTTTTTGTTTATCTCCATTTGTGGACCCACAAAAGTTGGTCGCTTGGTGCCGATTCCGTTGCTTTTCTAACTCTTACTGGAGCGACGTGCAAGCAAGAATCCAATACGTCTGACGTCAGTGCACTAACACGGGTGCATTGCTGATAAAACCCAAAAAATTCGGCAATATGACGACTCATTTCATGAATGTTCTGCGACAGGCCTTTAAGACATTCGATCGGGCCAACCACGCCAGCTTCAATGCCAATCTGCAGCACCTGAAGCAGCTCACAGATGAGCTCACCTATCGCGATCTTCACATCAAGGAGGAGCTCTTTCGACCCCACGCTGGGGCGCCGTCCCACAGCCAGGGGCGAGCGCCCTGCAGCTACATGCACATCTTTGAGGACGAGCGCTTCTCCATGAGCCTGTTCATTGTGCGCGGCGCCAGCTCCATTCCCCTGCACGACCATCCCATGATGTTTGGCCTGCTGCGCTGCATCTGGGGTCAGCTGCTCGTTCAGAGCTACACACAGCAGCTGGAGCCCGACGAGCCACTGCAATACGACACGGATCCCATTGTGGTGAAGGTGAACGCCGAGGAGCCCTGCCTGGTCTCGCCGCACAGCCCTAGCGCCATGCTCACGCCACGCAAGCGAAACTATCACCACATTACAGAGGCGGGCGGCGGCGTGGCCGCCTTCTTCGATATACTCAGTCCACCATACGACGTGGACATGCCCCTCTATGGCCCACGCAGCTGCCGCTTCTATCGGCCCAAGTTGGATGCGGGCCAATTGCAGCTGCACTGTATCCCCTCGCCGCCCACCTACTATTGCGATGTGGTCGACACGCCCAAGTCTGTGGTGAAATGTGCCTTCAAATGCGCCGACGACGCCTATGCCGAGAACGTACCCGAGACGCAGTGAAGCGTGTTCCCCCCATCATTTGTAGACTGCAGCTAGACCCACAAGCGAGCAAGCATTTTCTGTGTTATTTCAATAAATTTGCCTTCCTCTTTTTTTTAAGTTCGTTCCGCAATCACGGAATATGTTATTGGAATTCAGTCATTCAGTCATCGTCTTCGGCTTGATAGATGTTCTGGTTCCGACGCTTCAGCTTCTTGACGCTGGGTGGACTACTGGGCGCTGGCGGTGTTTCCTCGACTGCCTCTGCTTCGATTGTCGGCTCTGCTGTCTCCACTTCCTCATCTTCCTCGGGCAGATCTATCACGTTGTCGTCTTTTTCTGCTGTAACTGTCGGCGCTGGCAGGGACAGGTTCAGTTTTCGTTTGGAAGGTGTCACCAGTGGCTCAGTTGGAGGAGGGGAGGAGGCGCTCTCGTCGATAGGTTCTTCAACCTGAACCTGAATGGTTTCCTCTGGCTTCTGCTCTACGTCTGCGATTGCAACTGCTGGCAGATCCTTGCCATTGGCCAGCAGCGCCAGACAGAGTGGATCATCCACACCCAAGGCGGCACAGAATGTGTTGCTCTGCGGGTTCAGGTGGGCCTTGGGTTGACCCACGACCGAATGCTTGTAGTTGGAGTGCTCTTGCGGGTCGAACGCAGGCACCGTTCGCTGAAAGTTCTCCGGTATCTTGAGGCTCTGGAATTTGGCGGTCAACGAGGACAGCTCCTCCTCGGTGGGTGTGAAATTAAAGCGCTCCGTGATGGCGCCAGCCTTCTTGCCCGGCAGGTAGTAGTAGTTTTCCTTCACCGAGATGAGATGATTGGTGCTCTGCAGAATGGCCAACCACTCGGCATCGTACTCGAACGTGGGGGGATTGCCCGCAATCGCTTCGCTGGGTATGTCCAGCACTTGGAGAAATGCTCGTCGGGGCAGGCATTTGTCCAGAGCAAGAAACTTTGTGACAGCCACTGGTTTGGGTGGCAGCCTCGAGCCTCGAGTGCCCTCCTCATCTTCGCTCTCACTGCTGCTGCTGCTGCTTGAAGCGCAGTCTCCCACTTTGGTTGGGGCTTTGCTGCCATTGTGTGGCACGAGGGCGGCAAATTTGCAATGCAAATGTGCGGCAAACCAGTAGGTGGGCTGCACCGCCTTCAGCAACTCCTCCAGCGGCCGACTGCCCAGCTGTCCGCTCTCCATATCAGCCGCAAAGTAGGGCTTCTTGCGAAGCAGCTGGGCCTTGTTGCCGTACTCGTAAATGCCGGTGGGCCAATCGTGCGACAGGAAGATATCTACCTTCCCCGAGAGCTGCTTCAGCCGGAACACCTCCAGCTGGCGCACGTGATAGACACTGCGACATGTGGATTCCGTGTAGGGCGGGAATTCGTGATGGCCACGCAGAAAGTCGTGCCCCTTGAAGATGCCGCTGATGCCTGCAATACGAACGCCGTTCACATTGACCACGCCAGCATAGCCCAGATAGTATATATTCGGAGCCACCCAGCCTCCGTAGGGAAGCTCCTGCAGATAGTTCGACGCCTCGTGGTTCCCTCCTATGAATATGGTCAGCACGGGGGCCACGCACTCACCGCTGTAATATCTGGGGAACAACAGGCCATATTTAATGAATAATATATACTAAAATTTCCGGTGCTACTCACTTGTAAAAGGTACATATGTCCAGGTACTTTTTTGGTACAGCCATCGTCTGTAAATCCTCCAGGTTGCGCGTGGATTGAAAGTCGCCGCAGCATAGCAGCAGATCGATCTTTGTGTTGCTCTCCTTCTCAATGCATGCTATGGTGTCGTAGATGCGCTCCAGTTCGCCGTGCGCACATCCTTCTATCGCTATCTTCATGTTTTTCTTTATTTAATTGTTATTTTTGTTTGTAAACAATATTAATGCCCGGCATCAGAAAAGTGTCAAGCATCGGGCGACCTGCAACACTTCTACCAGTGTTGTCAAACATACGAACCCAGCACTACTTTTTATGGCGGCAACGTCTACAAAATTCAAATGAATTTTAATTTATGAAATTGCATTCCAATTCAAACGTTAAAAATGATTTTATTTTTCAAAAATATCGATCCATTTACATAATATACGCGTAATGTGTGTGTGTGTGTAAAGAAAATGTATGTGAAATGCTCTGTGTTGAATTCTCATTCTCTGACCATTTTTCGGAGTTCTAGGGAGGGAGGAAAGGGTCGTACAATCTCATTTGATGAGACTACCTCGTCTTCTTGGTGTGTTTTTGTTTTGTTTTTTTTTGTTTCGTTTCGTTTACATACAAAGATTTACAGTGTGGACTCTTTTCGACTTAAGTTATCATAATTTAGTTGGCATGGAGTTGCCAAGAAATAGACAGTAAAATATACATCTACAATAAATATGTGCGATTATCCCGGGGACGGGGGAACTTTCGCAGCGGCAGCGCGTGCTGCTTAGTACATCGAATGTACTACGGAAACCAAGAGAATGCCTTAAAGCTATAATCAGCATGCCTATTCAGTGTGTGTTTTGTGTTTTTGTTTTTTTTTTTTTCGTTTTCGTTTTGGAAAGAATATGAGAAACGATCAAGTCAGAAATCGAACTAAGTCTCTGGTTGTGTGGTGTCAATTTCATTGGTTAATCAGTTAATTAGGAGCCGAACTTGAAGGATGAGGGAACCGTTGTCTGGGGGAAGGTGAAGCCGCCTTGCTTCTCGATCAGCTTCGATTCCTTGGCTGCCTTTCGTTGATCGGCGGTCACGACCACATCCTGCAGCGCCCTTGCTTGCTCAGGTGTAAGATTTGACGTCAGCAGCGCATACCAGGCCTGATCTTGGGCAGAAAGTGCTGAAGGTAGGAAGAAGATAGGCACAGAGTCAGATAAATCAGGAGGAGGGGCAGAATCTTCTCCAAAAACGAACCTGTGATAACTTCCTTAAACGTCCAGTATTCATCGATGGCGCTATCGTTCTCCTCGTCGTCAATTGGCGTGGTGAATGTTTCGAGGCCCGTCTCGTTGAGGTCCTCCACAGACTCCTCTGCGTCGTCATTCGACTCGTCATCGTCATCCTTGACCTCCGCCTTGACCTCAAAGCCAGCCTCGCCCGCTTTCGCTTTGGTGAACTCGGCCAGCTTGTCCAAGTAGTTGGGTGCCATTTCATCCATGTCGTCCTCATCGCTGGACAGAGCCTCCTCACAGTCATCGCCATCCTCCTCCTCCTCCTCCTCTTCGTCCTCCTGGGCCCGCGACTCGTAAGCTCTCTTCAAGCCATCGAAGAGCAGGATCAGCGAGGGCACAATCTTGACAGCCACCTCACTCAGCACCTGCGGCTTGGCATCGCCCAGCGAGATGAGTGTGCACAGGCCAAGGACGCACAGTTTGCGATCGTGAATCCTGAAAACGGAATTGGGTTAGGATTAAACCAGAAACAGAGGGGAGGGGATGGGCCAGTCTTACCCCAGGAAACAGTCGGTGTCGTGAAGCCATTGCTTGATGAAATGCGAGCTAATTGGCTCGTTATTCGGCTGCGACATCTTGTCCAGAATGGTGAGAAGCAGCTGGGGATTGTAGTAGAGGGCCGCAATCACCACCTGCAGGCACATGGTGCGCAGCTCCGAAGACTGAACCTCGCGTGTGAGTCGCGACAGAGCCAGCTCCACGAACATGTGTATCACCGAATCGATTTGGCCCTTGCACTGCAGAATGATGACCTCCATCAGTTTGGCTGCGTGGCACTCTGGATCCTCGCCCGGATTGCCAGTGAGCATCTGTCCAGAGAGAGCAGAATGGTAATGGTAACTGGTTTGGATTGAGGAGCTATCTCTGTACCGTTTTGCACATGTCGAGTATGGCCAGCAGCCTATTGGGATTGGAGAGGAAGGCTGGCGTATCCACTGTCACATAGTTATGCAGCGCCGGCATAATGTCGATGAAGTAATCGATGCCATCCTTCTTGAATACCTGGTAGATCAGCTCCAGCATTTGCCACATTTCCGGGGAGATGGCCTTGCACGTCAGATCGTACACCAGCGAGAACGTTTCCTCATAGAAGTCTGCGTAGCGAAATTAATTAGAAATCTCTCTCTCTCTCTTGGCTCGTATGCCAAAGCACTCTCACTCTCTCTTACCCGTTATGTTGTGCTGGAATATGTGACCCACCACATTGATGACAATGGGATGCAGATTGAGCAGCACTTCGGGATGCTCCTCCATCACACTCAACAGGGTCTCGATTGTGTTGAGCAGACTCATGGCGGTGATGGCCTTCTCATCGGATCCCTCCTCCGACTCGAGTACCTGACTGAAAGTGGTGGCCAAATGCTGACAGATCTCGGTGGCTACCGGCAGCAGCTGTGTGGTGAAGGTGCAGACAATCTTCTGCATGACATTCGTCAGATCCTCATTCTCCGTCTCCCGAATGATGGTCAACAGCTCCTTGGTGATCTCCTTGATCTGCGCCTCCACATAGGGCGGCGCGTCGTCCTGGGACGATAGGAACATCTGCAGCCCAATGGCGGCTTCCACTTTCACGGGCAACTCCTTGTCCGTCAGCAGGGCATTGGTGGTCAGCCGCATTATCTCTGCCAGAACCTGCGGATTCTTGATCTGTACGTCGCAGAAATAGTGCAGCACCCAGCAGGCACGCGCCCTCATATGGCCAGCGGGATTCTGGAATTCGGGGAACACATATGTCGTCAGCATGGACTCCACCTGGTCCCTGTACAGCGCCTTCTTCAGCAGGACATCGGCTAGGGTGCCGATCATGTGCAGGGCTCCGTCCTTTTGCTTGTTGTCCGCCTGCTGGGAGGTTATGATCTGCATTATTGTGGCCATAGCCTTGGGCAGGACACCCTTGCGCTTCTTGCAGATGGAGTGCAGCAGCGATTGGGCAGCCGGCACAGGTGTGGCATAATCCTCGAATATGTCTGCAAAAGGAAGGCAACACGAGGACGTTAGCAACAGAGGCGATTGATTGAATGCCAATCGTTTCACTTACCAAACTTCAAGCGAATGTATTCATAGGGATCGCTCTCCCACAGCTCCTGATCGGAGTCCGTGAAGGACATAATGGGAAAAATGACATCCTGTATGACAGCCACCATATGGGGCTTGATCAGCTTCCAGGTGTATGCATGGCTTACGCTGAAATAGGAATAGCACAGCAAATTACATTGAATGTAATGAAAAGGAGCTGCAATTAATGGATACATACGCATTCTTGAGATAGTTTAGCACATCGGTGAGGACACGTGGCGAGACATAGACTCTGTTGCGGTACTGGTCGAGGATCTTGAGGAGCACCTCCAAAACACCCTGGCTGAAGGTCGGCAAATACCATTCAGCGAATTTTTGGTACTTTTCACTAACCACATTGCTGGGACTCCCATAGCTACAAGTCAACAAGAGAGAGAGAGAGAGATAAACGATCATTAGGGGAGCTCCTTTAGGGCTTTCGGTCCGGTATTCCATTCAACGTACCGCTCAAACATGCGAACCATGATATGGAGGGCCCATTTCTTGGTCTTCCAATAGGGGAATTCGGTGCGCTCATCCTCGTCCAGGTGCGAGCAATCGGGCACCTCACGATCCGCTATCTGGCGACAGATCTCCATCCACTGCGCGAAGATCTCCTTGGTGATGAGATCCAGCGGCAGGCTGTACTGCGTGAGGGCGTAGTAGATCTTGAGTATTTGTTTCTGGAGGAGAACCGACTGCTCCGACTGCTCGTTGAGCAGCCTGATTATCAGCTGATAGATCATCGGCAGCAGCAGATTCATAGCCTCGTTGAGCGGTGTCCGCTCCTCGGATCGCTTGTACTCGTACGTCTTCACCAGCTGATACATGGTGAGCAGCGCACCGTTCCAGCCATTCAGATCCTGGTTCTGCAGATAGATGCTAATGTTGTCCACCACCTGGGGCCAGCGACCGGGGAAATCGTTCTTGATGATGTGATTAACGCAGACGGAGAGCTGAACCCTGAACAGAACGAACAGCCCCAAGTTAGTCGAAATGTGAGCAATGTGAGAACTACGAAATTGCCTGAATTACCTGATCAATTCGGGGGCATGTACAATGGCATCCACAATGGTGCCACGGATCATGGCCCGATCCTGTTCGTGTATGGAGAAGGGTATGGGCTCGCCGGGCTTTGCCTCGTGATCCGACCAGCTGCTGTTGATCAGATTCTTCAAGTAGACGGCGCCCGCCTGCCGCACCGGCTGCTCCAGCGTCGTTTGCATAACGATTTGCAGAATGGTGGGCACAAATCCAATGATTTTGTGTATCTGCGGGGGAAAAAGGAGAAAAATTAAATGAAATTGAAAATCAAATTTGGATGTCGTAGATTATTTTCCCCATTTTCCCGATTTGTTTATACAGCTGCTGCTGTCGGGTGGGCGGGATGAGCAATGCTGGCCGGGCCACAATGGGTTAACCAATGCCCAATGCCGTATCGATGGCACCCGCCGACCCGACCCACCACTTTAAATTCTGTTCACAATTCCCCAATGAATATGGCAGGCAGCAGGCAGCAGAGGCAGAGCCATGGAACCGAACCGTGAGCAGCCGCCGGTGGCCGACGACAATTTTCCATAAATGCTGATAAAGTTAATTAACCAATAGAATTAGGAGGCATGGGGTAGGGGGTATGGGGGTAGGGTGTGGGAGGGACGAACATGCAAATTGTTAGATGCTGACTCAGTCGTAATGAGCATGCCCATGGAACAGTGGAGCCAAAGCAATTGGGTAATTAATGTCAAATGGAAACGTCCCTAATTAAGATTCTGTTCTGAGAGAGACGAAACACTGGAAGCTGGAAACCCGTTTAATCTGGAAAGTAGATTGCGTAAGACTGCAAAATAAACTTTAAAATTTAATGGGAAAAACATATTTCGCACCCACAGTGCCAGCCACGAACCCGATCCATTCCCATACATCAAATCGGGGAAAAAGTACTTGTTGCGGAGGAACATAGCTCCCTGCTCTGCCCTGCCACAAGGTTATTGATAGATGATTGGTAAAACCAATAAAGCTGCCCTTTCTCCTTCGACCGATATCAGTTTACTGTTGGACAGAGGCCCCATTACACCCACACTCTCACTGACACTGACACCCACACCCACACCCACACACACACACACAAATCACTGGGCAGTGCAATGGGAGAAAGAGAGGGATGGGAGGTTAAAAGCGAACAATTAAAAAAGCACATGGTTTTTGACGATGGCGCCATCTCAAAGGTCTTTTGCATTTGTTTGCCACGCGTTTGGGCGCGGGGGGTGGAGGAGTAAGGACTGAGGACATACCTGGGCCAGTTGATCCTCGGCGGCCTTGCGCTGCTCGGGATTTGGATCAATAGTTGCGCGCAACAGTTCCGTGAGTTTTTGTGCCTCCATTTTCGCCTGTTCGTTGGGGTCGCCTCTCTCACTCTCTTGCTTATTTCCTATTGAATGCACGTTTTGCCGGTCGTCGCTGCTCCTCTGCACAGAACCAATGGGCCCACAAAGCACCCGCGAGTTGATCTATTTGTTTAACAAATTGCCACACAACGCCACTGCAAGGGCCTAATTGCAGATATATATATATGCACCCTATATAGCTATAAGGAAAAACGTGGAAAAGGCTATGACGGCCACACACACACCGCCGAAATTTGCAAGACGAAGCGTGTATAGCAGTTCAACATATCGATATATATTTTTTGTTGCTAATATATTTGTGGGTGATATTATTTATAATAATTAAATTATTAATATTAACTATAATTTTCTGTTTAAATTAGATACTTGTTAGATAAGATATATAGACTTTTGATTATATGGGTTTATGGGTTACACCAAAATATCGGTATTTTTGTGCGATAAGCGCGGGCGGCTATTTTGAAAAAGACAATTTTGAGAAAAAGAAAAACAAACATAAATTAAATCACAATCACAGTAATATTGTATACATATGTATTAAGCTTTCTTTAAAAATCTATATAATGAATGTATATAATGTATAATATACATATTGAAGTCAACAACTCAAGACAATCTGTTGTTTTATGTAATGAACGCGCTGTTTTCAAAAATCAAATATCCAAATTGCAATAATTAACACAAAAATAATTTTTAGAATTTTAAAATTTAGAACAATTTTGATCAGTTTTTTTGCCTATCGATAATTGGCTGGCTGCAACTCTGAATGCATGTATGACAAAGACAAAAAGTGACACATCGTTTGGCGGAGGTGTGGTTGAAAATATCTAAAATTTAGTGTTTATCAGTCGGAGAAACGGATTTAAGTTGGTGTTAGACGTGAGATATTAGTTGAATTGAGCCGGTTTGATAGAAACACAAGCACAATCATCAGTGACAATGACAGGCAGGCTACCGGCATGCGTAATCGATGTGGGCACCGGGTAAGTTTCGTCGCCGCCACCGCCTGCGGGGGTCTCCAATTGGGAAAAAAAATTAGGTCGACTGTCTGATTCCGATGTTTACGTTTGCAGCTACTCGAAGATGGGATTTGCTGGCAACAAGGAGCCGCAGTTCATCATACCCTCGGCCATAGCCATCAAGGAGTCGGCTCGCGTAGGCGACACCAATACGCGGCGTATCACAAAAGGCATAGAGGACCTGGACTTTTTCATTGGCGATGAAGCTTTCGATGCCACTGGTTACTCCATCAAGGTATGTCGCAGCACTGATAAGATTATCGGCAGCAATTCTTTCATTTTGATTATCGCCCCCTGCAGTACCCGGTGCGTCATGGTCTGGTGGAGGACTGGGACTTAATGGAGCGCTTCCTGGAGCAGTGCATATTCAAGTACTTGCGCGCAGAGCCCGAGGATCACTATTTCCTGCTGACTGAGCCGCCACTAAATACGCCCGAGAATCGGGAATATACGGCGGAAATAATGTTCGAAACATTCAATGTTCCTGGCCTGTATATCGCCGTGCAGGCCGTTCTGGCCCTGGCAGCCAGTTGGGCTTCCAGATCCGCCGAGGAGCGCACCCTCACCGGCATTGTGGTGGACAGTGGCGATGGAGTGACGCACGTGATACCCGTGGTAAATAGAGCGCCCCTCCATATCTTATCAGCAAATATTTCTGTTGGCACAGCCAAAAAAACATTTACACACCCATCGTAGTGCTTCTGGTACTAATCAAGGATGTCTTTCCCTTAGGCCGAGGGCTACGTGATTGGCTCTTGCATCAAGCACATTCCAATTGCTGGACGCAATATCACATCGTTTATCCAGAGTTTGCTGCGCGAGCGGGAGGTGGGCATACCGCCCGAACAGAGCCTCGAAACTGCCAAAGCGATCAAAGAGAAGCACTGCTACATCTGCCCCGACATTGCCAAAGAGTTTGCCAAGTACGACTCAGAGCCAAATAAATGGATACGCAACTATTCGGGCGTCAACACGGTCACCAAGTCCCCCTTCAACGTCGATGTGGGCTACGAACGTTTCCTGGGCCCGGAGATCTTCTTCCATCCCGAGTTCTCGAATCCCGACTTCACCATACCCCTCTCCGAGATTGTCGACAATGTCATACAGAATTGTCCCATCGATGTGAGGCGTCCGCTGTACAACAACATTGTCCTCAGCGGTGGCTCCACCATGTTCAAGGACTTTGGCAGGCGTCTGCAGCGAGACATTAAGCGATCGGTGGACACGCGCCTACGCATCAGCGAGAATTTGTCCGAGGGACGCATTAAGGTTAGTTATCGTCCCTCCCTTCCCTCTCTCTTTTTCACGAATGAGTCATGATCTGAGTCGGACTTTTGAATTCCACAGCCAAAACCAATTGATGTTCAAGTGATTACGCATCACATGCAGCGCTATGCAGTGTGGTTTGGCGGCAGCATGTTGGCCTCAACGGTGAGCTGGGAACATCACGTGGGAGTCCTTTACAGTCCTTGATGATAATGTTTATTGTGGTTTTATATTTACAGCCCGAGTTCTATCAGGTCTGTCACACAAAGGCCGCCTACGAGGAGTATGGTCCAAGCATTTGCCGTCACAATCCCGTCTTTGGCACCATGACATAATTTGATGTGATCCGATTCAGTCGGTATCCAATGCCTGTCCAATGCAGCAGCGGTTATTATTAATAATTTCAATTTTAAATTTGATTTTGTTTGCTCTGATTATGTATTCCACACGCTAAAGTATTAGCCACAGCCCCCCTTATGTGTTTAGCATTTAAATGTGTCTACCAATTGTGTAAATTTTCTAAGTTTTCGCTCTAATTTAAGCTTAAAACTCTCTCTCTTTAAACAACAACAACTCCGATGTCTGCCAGTTACGCGTTTGCTACTCTTTAAGGTGTATTGCATTACTTCTATCACACATACCCCCAGCCCCGCCCCCTGCTCTATTCACTTCACTCTTATATACGGAAACACCACTGTACTTGTCATAGTAATACTATTTTATAATTGCAATAACTGCGAAGCGAAAAAAAGGTTTACAGAAAAACAAAACTGAATCAGAAAACAAAACAAAAGCAAAAAAACAAAAAGAGATACGAATTATTGTGGAGAAATCTGTTTGTTATATTGATAAGGCGTAATTGAAATGGCATTAAATAAATCAATAAAACATTCTTTAAGCTCAAAACGGTGGCTCGCTCCTTTGATCCGGAAGCTTTTACTGGAAAATTTTTATTCAATGCATTGTTCGTTCATATATGTTCGTGTGTCTGTGTGTGTTTCGTTCAAATTGCTCTAATATATGTATGTATGTATATATATATATATATATATATATGTATATAAATTTTGTGACGGTGTCGCTTTAGCTGAGGGAATATAGCAAAAAGGTTCGGTGTTTGTTTCCAAGCCATAACTTTAAATAATTGACTAATCCACATAGTCGCTGGAGCCCTCCTCCTCGTCGTTGCTGCTGCTCGATTGGGCCGCTGCCGTTTCCGGGGAGCGCAGATGCTCCGCTACGCGAAAGTTTTGCAAAAAGTCACGCATGGCATCCATCATCAAAGTGAGCGACTGCTGCAGGCCAACTTCTGCAATCATTTCACAGTTTATACACTTTATAACTACATATTTAATTAAGTGATTAGCTGAGCAAACCTTCGGCTTCGCCGTTGGCTGGCCTGCCGGGCTCCACTGCGGCAGCTCCTGCTTCAGCTTCTGCTCCTGCCACCTGGGGCTGTTGTTGTTGTTGACCTGCCGCAATGTTATTCAGATTGAACGATGGCAAAAGGGATTGGAAAAACATCGATACAGAGTTGTTGGGGTTGTTTGTGGGACTGCTGCTGGATGAAGACTTTCTGCAAAGAATATTCAAATTAGAGGAGCCAAGATCAGCACCTATCAGCAGGCGGTCGTACCGTTGATAGCAATTGACACTGTCTGGTGGTGGCAGTGGATCGTAGGTCATAATCGCCTGCTTCTCCTTGGCCACAAAGACGGCCAGCGGAACCTTCTCCTTGTAGTCGGAGAGTATCACATGCCTTAGAATGGGTCGTGGCGGTGTGCCGCCATAGCGCACAGATCGTTTTTCTTTGTATTCATTAACGACGGGGTCTTTGCTGTCGATGCGATCGAGCACGACGTTGACATTGGACTCCAGCCAGGGCAGCACCTCGGTCGAACGCCAAACGACTCGGGCACGGCAGACATACAAGCACACAAGCTGGTGCAGGGCGGGCGATTGACTAGTGCATGTATGGGAGAGTGTGATTAGATAGCGATAATCGAAAGCCTCTTGAACTCACTTTCCCGACACGTCCGAGAAGAAATATGACGAGGCCAACACGCGCTTGTCCGTCTGCACAGACATCTCGTCGAGCAATGGCCTCAGCACAGCCGGGAACATGAGGAGTGCGTACTGCAGAGCCTCGTTGGAGCGTTCACAGGCGCCGTGCAGCGTGTACAGGGCCAGGGCGTAGGAGTAGGCCATGTTGGGGAGCTGAGACAGATTCCGCGTGGCATTGTACTCCTCGTAGAACTCCACCAGCCAACCAAACTGTTTGCTCCTTAGGGCATAGTAGTCGATGACCAGAATCATGGCCAGCGGATCTGTTTCTGGCTGGAGGCTCAGCAGCAGCTTGGAGATCTCAAACGCTGTGCGACTGCAGGCACGCTCTTCCAGATATTGGGCATGCTTGAAGAGCACAATGTAGAAGGAGCGGTTCTCCTGACGACGATAGTCTAGGCGGCAGTTGCCCGACGTCAGGCTGAAGTTGATGTGCAGCGAGGACTCCAGCAGGAGAAGGGCGCGCTCCAGCAGCTCGGCGGCCAGGGCAAAGTCCTCGGTCATCTTGCACACCTCGCTCAGCTGGACCAGCGAGTCTACGTGATACGGACAGCGCTTGATTAGCGTGATCAGGAACTCGGAATCGATGCGCTCCAGGGCAGAGAGGAACATGTGCTGCACTCCCTGGTAGTACTGGCTATGCTCGAACGCGAACCACTGCACTCCATCGTTGCTGCTGCTCTTCGTGGACTTTGACGAGCCGGGCAACTCGATTGTCGGCAGCAGTTGCATCGTGATGGTGTTCTTGGTCAGCGGTGGCCACGATTCCCTGGCCGACACCATGTAGGTGGACTTCAGAGTGGGCTTCTGGCGGCCCCGCTTGGTTCTGTCCGAAAAAAAAACCACCAAAATATATAATGCCGAAAGAAGCAATAGTCCCTAGTGGGCATCACTTACTCCACTTTGACCACCCGCTTGCCAAAGGTGCGTCGCATCTCGTTATGCGAGTTTAGGTGTCGCAACTCCACGCTAAGCAGCTTCTTCGATCCGCCGGCAGCTCCAGCGGAAGCAGCTGCCTGCTGCTTCATCGATTGCCTGGGCACTGCATCGTACACTTTGCCCAGCAATGGATCCTTCTCAAAGTACTTATCCTGCCGCTCGTTGTCCTCGCTGCTGATGTGATTGCCGCTGGACTTGACCTTCTTCTTGCGCTTCTTTTTCTTCTTTTTGGCAGCGGCACTGGGCAATGCAGCCGACGGATGTTCCGTTTCGTTGTCATCCTCCTTGAACTCGCTCTCCGAGAGACTCAGTCCGGGCTGATTTAACTGGAATGGCATGGAATGACACGACCCCCCATGAAACGTTGAGGTGGCACTCGTGTGTCATTGCTACGTACCAGATCAAATGGATTTAAATGCGATTTGCGATCTCTGACAGTATTGTTGTCCTCCAGCTCGTCATTGTCACTCAATTCCTCGCCCTCTTCGTCATCGGGCGGCGGCGGCAGCTTGTCAGCGCCCTGCAACTTCTTCAGCATACGCGCGGACATTGTTGTTGACGAGCACCTCGATATTTACAATTATGTATATTCAATTTGACTATTTCTCGTATAAAATACGTGTGTGTAGCGATACACAGCAGCGACGGCGGCAGCGCTGCCTTGCTCGATTTTGAAATTCGGCTTACGATTACTAGCTAAACGGAACCCTCCACACCGATCATATAATTTTCCACACCAAATGAATTAATTTCCTACAAAGTTTGCTAGTTTTAAGTACTCAATGTATGCAAAGTATGTTCCCCTGGTTTTTAAGGTTCTTAACTTGACCGTTTTACATCACTGAATGGAACTATCGGCATAACTGTGCACTGATGTTTCGATACCCAGCTATCGAAATCTGATTCAAACGAATCTCGCTGTTAGGCCGCCACTGGAAGCCGCCATTTGTTGTTGCATGACGTACGGTTCTGCAAAATTTTTATTTTTTTTGATTATGGGGATTTCTTGAATTTTCTACAACAAAAAACTGAAACATCTAATGGAAAAAGCAATTATGTATTTGTAAATGCTTTTAACAGAACAGTCATTTAGAAGACTTGTTTAATAAGTTGCTGTACATAATTGCCATATTTGGTAGCAAGTAAGACGGCACCGATGCTGAGAACTGTGGCAATCAACAGTATATTGGAACGATTGTAAATACCGATTTTCTTGAATTTTTGCTTGTTCTTAGCAGCATTGCGTATGTCCTCCATTTCCTGGTCCAAATTAAGTCGCTCCTTCTCCAGATTAGCCACCTTTTCCTTCATCATTTTCAGTTCCTCCAGTTCGTGACCCTCCAGGGCGTCGTATGAGCGCTCCGACTCTTCAGAGAGCATTTCAACCTCAGCCACTTGAGCCACTACTCCACCAGCAACATGACGGATGGTCTCGTCCAATTCGTTAATGGTGTCGTTAATCTCCGTCTGAGGATGCAACAAATCGCAGCGGACCTTGCCCTCCCACATGTTGGCCGGGTCCAGCATCTTGAAGAAATCCTGCAAGTCTCCAATATCGTCAGTAGCTTCGGCAGCCACAATTAGAAACTTGTGACGTTTATCAGAAGGTGACCGTCGGCTGCATGCCGGCTGCATGAAAATTTCGATGTTGATCGACGAATTAGCCATAAGTATCCCAATATTCGGACGGACGAAGAACAGGCGCGGCGAGGTTGTCTTCATCTTGTACGCCATATCTTTACCCACGAGATTGCGAAGAACCAGATTGCGCTTAATGGGCTTGTCGAATGGCCCCTCGAAAATTAGAGCATCAGCTGGCTCGTAGCTGATTATATCCTCAATATTCTTTGCCATTTCAATTTTGTAACTTTTTTCAGTTCGATTTACGGAATTTGTTCTGTTCTGTTCAAAATACGATGTGCTCGAGACAGGTTTGTGAGACCAAATGACGAGATTAAAATGGAAATGGCGACGCAGGAAAAACCACAGAAAAGCACAGCCTACTTGTGTACGGTTTACAGCACTGAAGCCAAGCTCAGTAGAGTTGCCACGCCTGCTGAAGGATTCAAATGTTGTTTCGTTTGAAATTTTAGTTTTATTTTTCATCGATTCGTTTTATTTATATACAGTTTTGTCTTGCTAAAATTCGTTGAGTGTGTGCTACCAGAATATCATGCGGCCAGCATTTGGGGAAGTGGCCTTGGCGAGAATAATTCCCGACAGCTCCTCGTCCTCCAGTTCGTTGCTGTTTCACGCATTGCGGGGTGGGGAGTAAGGTAAGGAGAGTCGCATTAGTTTAACAGTTAACATAGACTTATCATACACATAGCTACTGTTATTGGTGTTTCTTGATCTTTTGTTTATTTTTTTCATAATAAATAACAATATGAATGTTGGTTGTTGGTTGCCACAGCTGATGCTGTGGGAGGTCATCATCGATCACCTCAGGAGATGGACGTGTGCTGATCGAAGTCGATTCGCAGGTTGTGGGTGGTGTGTGTGAGTGTGTTTGTGTGCGTGTGTGTGTGTGGGCGGGCGGGAGTACAGTCACAGGGATAACAACAGTTACAACGAATTGCAGCAGTGGCCAATGTTTCTCTCATGGTCTGCAAAACAGAATCCAGATAGAGAGAAAGAGAGTGGAAGAAAATAAAGAAATAGAGAGAAAATATACAAATGGAGAAAGAATTAAATAAAAGCTAATCGAAATTCCGTTAGCAGCACAAAACAAAAAACAAAAAACGAAACACAAAACGAAACGCAAAACGAAAAGGGGAATGTAAAACATGCGGATGAAAGAGTATGGGCTGATAAAGCACAGGGACAGGGGGGCAGGTGGAAATAATACACATTTCATTTTATTAATTCACATTTTTTATTCTTTTTTGTAGTTGTTGTTCTTTTCTTGTGTTTTCTTTCTTTTTTGTTGTTGTTTGTTTTAAATTAAATCGTTTCGAGGCACTTAGTAAGCCAATTTTTAGGCGCTATTTAAATATTAAATATATAGGTATATATATATATGTGGATGTGTATGTATGTATATATTGCAAAATCAATTGAAATATGCTAAAAATTAAGTATTGTACAGCATTTGTTGTTGTTTTGTAAAATTTGGATTAAATAAATTTCGTTTATCGTTTAAATATCACTTAAATAGGTTCGTTTCAAGCCACTTAATTTGATTTTCTTTTTTTTTTGATTTTTTTTTTTTTTGCGGACGGTTACAAGATCAAATACAAAATACGAAAGAAATGTACAAATTTTAAAAATATATATCAACTATAAATAGAACATTACATACATATTATGTATAGGGTGTGTGTTTCTGTTGAATTTTTGTTTCTTGTTTTGTTTGTTTATAAATTAGGGTTCGTGGCTATGCAGTCGTTAATTTTGTGTTTTGTGGTTTCTTTTCTCATAAATTAGTTTATCAATTGCAGCTTAAATTCGCTTACTCATTTGTCACAAAAAAAAAAAACAATTAGTTAATTTATCAAAAATCAACAACTAATCACATGGCAAATAGACTTTCTAGAGAGAGAGAGATAGAGAGAGAAACAGATGGTGGGTGGAGGAGGGGCGTTCGGTTTTGCTTTCGGCAACGCAGGCGAGTTTTAGTGAATGGCTTAGCTTAACGAGTATAAACAACGAGTGGCGAGCGATAACTTGCTAGCGAGAGTACCATCACCAGAGAGAGAGAGAGGAGAGACAGAGAAGTACAGCGAGAGGGGCCAGGGGTGGTGGGTTAGATATGATTATGTGAGTATGAGTATGGAAAATGCATGAGATTCGGTTTTAGATGGCACAAATGCAACGAGTAGCGAGTAACAGGCACTTAGTGAGCGAAGTACTAAACTAGATGAGTGGAAGTAGCGAGTGACGCGTCAAGACAGCTTCGCTTTGCTCAACGTTTTGGCTTTGCTTGGCTTACGGTTTGGCTTACTTTTTGATCAGCGAGCGAACCTTCTTCATCGTGCGATTGAAGATGGTCTTGTTGTTGCTGGCACTGTTATTGGAGCCCAGCGATGAGTTCGATGTCTTGTTGCTGTTCAGGCTCCCGCCGCGATGCACATGCGCCGCCGCCCGCTGCTGGTTCCCATGCGGCTGTTGCTGCGACTTTGGCGATTTCCCATCCTCACGCTCGCTCTCCGTCGAGCTGACGCCCTCGGGACTCTGGCGACTGTAATGCGAGTGCGTGGGTCGCTCTGGCGTGGGGGATTTCGAGGAAGAGCTCTGATCGCGTCGCTGGGGCTGCGGTGTCAGTGGCATGGCCAGATTCTGCATGCTCTGCGTCTCGTCGTTGGGCTCGATGCTCGGCGGCAGCAGCTCGGCCAGGGTCTGCTTCGACAGTATGTGATCCAGGCTCCGCGACTTGCGATGCTGCTGCACATTCGGGGGCGGTGCCAGGCGCTTCTCTCGCCTCGTCACATGGTCGCAGGTGTCCGTGTCCGTAGGCTCCTCGTCCTCCTCCGGCTGCAGGGTGCACGTGGAGCTGGCATTCGTCAGCGCTGTGCTACCGGCCGTCACCATTGCCGCCGCTGCCGCGATCCTCTGCTCGGGCGTGGCCAGACTGCTCTGGCTGGCGGATGCCTGGTCCAGCAGCCCATCCACGCTGTGCGACCGATAGCCACTGCCCATTCCAGCCGCACTGTGCCCCAGACCAGCGGCCGAGCTGCGTCGCGGTGGCAAATACGCCAGCGGCATCATGTTCTGCATGGAGGCCGAACCGGCTCCGGATTTGTGGAGCAATGCCGCCTGCTGGGTGCGATACGGTGGCAGAATGTTGGAGCGTTTTCCGTGCCTGGCATAGCCGCTCAGCTGCGAGGTGCTGCCCCGTTGGCGGGCCGGTGAGGGGGATTGCCGGTATCTATTTGCCTGGTGATTAGCTGCGAGTTTCGAGCGAGTTTTTAGCGAGTTTCGAGAGTGGTGTTGGTTTTGTTTTGCAATCAGAATTAAAGTATTATTATCATTATTAGGTGGTAGAGAGAAAAAAGAGAGAGAGTGTAATGTATGGGTGTTTGTGTGTGTGTGTGTGTGTGTCAGTGGGTGAGAGAGAGATTGTGGGTGGGTAGGGTGGGGAGATTGAGAGTAGTGTGCTCAAAGGCTTGAACTTTGACCGTAACTTGAGGAGAATCTCCGCTTAACCTTAAGACATATTCGAGGGAGGTCGAGAGGCTCTGTTTTTAGTTTGTTTGTTTTTCTTTTTTTACTTTTATGGGGTCGGTCTCTACGCCGGACTCTGGCTCCGGTTGGGAGTTGAATTAGCATTTGCATTTGCATTTGAACTTGCATTTGAACTGGAGTTGGAGTTGTTGGGAGTAGTACTACTACTACTACTACTACTCGTTGTTGGCCCACCTTGTCCGCTGCCATTGGCCGCCATCAGGCCATCCACCACACTGCCCGCTGTGCCGCCAACACCACCGCCGCCGCCGACGCCTCCTCCACCGCTGGATGATGCTCCTCCTCCCACTCCTCCGCTCTGGTAGTCGGAATCGTTGCTGTGCATTCGTCGGTATGACACCGCTTCGGGCGTCCCAGGCACCATGGCCGCAATGCGATCGATATTCTTTTCGCCGCGCAAAAATCTGCCGCATCAGAATCAGAAGAATGGGAATTATTTGAGTTTCGATAGAAAGAATTGATAGATTTTTGAGGAAGATCCCAGATCCCCAGCCAGTTCCCAGCCAGATGCCAAAATGCATTCTATGCGCCTATGTCTCTAAATGCGTCGCTTAATATACCTTTCGAGCTTGTCGATGCACGCGTCCTGGTAGTCATGTATCCAGCTGACGCCATTGAAGTGCGCCACACTGCGCATATCCTCTGGCAGCCTCTCCACCTCCGGCCAATCAAAGTGCTGATCCATAATGGGTATAATGTTGCAATTGGAGTTCAAAGCAGCCACAATTTCCTATATAAAAAAACAGCAGGGGACAGATAGGGGACATCCATTCATGGGTAAAACTTTGCTTAAACCTTTGATTGCGATTAAGGCGGCACTTACGCGATGCACCCAATCCTTGCAGTCCTCGTCGGCAATGCAGCGATGCAGGGCATCGGGCGTTAATACTAAAACAAAGTTCTTTGCCTGCCGAATACTGTTCAGGAGTCCATTGTCGAACTTGCCCGCCTCCAAACGTTCCACATCGATGAACACTGAGAAGCCACGCAGCTGAAGATGGACCTGCAAACACACACAAAAGTTTACATAATGCTCCTTCCCATTGCCTGTCGATCCTTCGATTAGTTTACCTTCAGTAAGCTGGCCAACTGTGAGCCATTGGAACGTCTGTAGCTGACAAACACATCCAGCGTCTTGGCCATGTTCTCCTCAGAGGAGCTGGGCAGCGAGTTCTCCAGATTCTTGACGGCATTCAGGATGCGCAGTCGATGGATGGAGTTGTGGATGCCACACTCTGTCATCAGCATGTCCTCGTTGACGTGCGGCAGGGCGCACTTGTCGATGCCGGCATTCAGCATGGCGTATGTGTAGGTGCAGTAGTCGGTGCCGATCTCCGAGAGAAACTGATGCATTTTGGCCGTGTCCTTGGATGAGTAGTCGGCCATGCGTTTGAGATTTTGCAGTTCGCGCTCGAAGCGCCGCAGCAGGATGCCATTGCCGATGCCAATGTCGTCGCGCAGATTGTCCTGGTTGAGCTTCAGCAGCAGATCGCCGTCCACCTGGGACTCCTCGAACCGGTCGATGTAGCCATTGAACCCGATCTGCTTCACCCACTCCTGCACATCCTCGACGGACCACAGGGGCACCTGCTGCGACAGCTTGTGCGGCACAGTCTCCCCGATCAGGCGCAGCGCCTGGGCGGCAAACTTCGAGGCGATGGCATTCGGAC